ATGATTGTGTGGAGGGGTAAATCACTGCTGAGATGAGGGTTATGTGTGGATGAGGATGGACGCTGTGACAGGGCTGGACTTATGTTCAGCTGCTGTCAAACAGCACCCACAGGTCCTTTTCCAGCTTTCCAGCCACTGTTCCCCCAACCTGGAGCGTTCCATGGGGTTGTTGTGATCCAGGTGCAGGACCCAGCACTTGGCCTTGTTAAGCCTCAGCCCCTTGATCCAGCCTGTCCAGATCCCTCTGCAGAGCCTTCCTGCCCTCCAGCAGATCAGCATTCCTGCCTGACTTGGTGTCCTGTGTGAACTGCCTGAACTTGCTCTCCATCCCCTCGTCCAGATCATTAATAAAGATATTAAACACCACCTGCCCCAATGCTGCCCCTGGTTTTTGGGGTGTTGCTGGATTTATCTCCATTCCCCACCGCTCTGGGCCCAGCCATCAGCCAGTTTTTTGCCCACTGAACAGTGAACCATCCAAGCCATGGATGTTCTGCAGGAGAATGCTGTGGAGAATGGTGCCAAAGGCTTTACTAAAGTCTAGGTAGACAACGTTTTGGTCTGAAAAAAATGACTTGCAGTAAGATCGTAGGTCTGATGCTTTTACCTGGATTTGGGGAAAGTGCTCTGACTTTATTTAGAAAGCTGTTTACATTCTGCCTGTGTACAGCTTAAGTCCGGGTCCATAAAGCTTCTAGATAATGTATATTTATAAAATAATGATGTTGGCAGCGTGCTCAGCGCTGTGGAGTTAATGTGGCCTCGTGCTGCTGAGAGGGTCAGAGCGAGAAATAGATCCTGCTTTTACCACCATAAATTATTAAGCTGTCTTGGCATGTCATGTACTGCTGTGTGGCAAAATGCTCTGGCTCTTGCCTGATCCTGAGGCTGCTGAGCCTCTGTGGCAACCAGCTCTTCAAATCTCAGGTCTTCAAAGACTTCCAGCACAGAACTGCTGCCACCCCAGCTTTCATCTGCCACGAGTGACGGTCCCGCTCGCTGGGAGCGGGTAAAAAGCTGCCACTGCTGATTTGTGCCTGCCACACAAAGCCTGGTTTTGGGCTTCTTCTTGTAAATGTGAAGGGGAGAGGTGTCTCCAGAAGGGTGCTGATCCTCCCTGTCCTGATCAGTAGTGATACACCAACCCCATCCTTACTGCACAGCTCTCCAGGGCTGTCTGTGATGCCCACTTAGAGCCAAATAAATGAGAAACAGCAGATGAACGCTGTGGCAATCAGCTGCAGACTGGTCTGAGGAACAGGGTCTTGGAGACCTGGAATACTGCCCTTAGGGAGTGTCAGGATCAGGCACAGGGAGAGGAAACCAGCCATGGCAGTGCTGCTTGAGTGTGCTAAAGCGTGCTGCTGCAGAGGACAGCCTGCAAAAATGTCATCCTGGGACTGCTCTCAGAATTTTTTGATCCTGGAGCTTTTCTTATCAGCAGCTGTACTTTGGTGAGACCAGGGAATGATCTGGCAGGGCTGGGTTGCTGGCAGGTAGGCAGGAACAATCCTTCTTCTGCATGTCCTTCCAGTAATGAGCTGGTGATTGCATCAGGACTGTTAAGTCCTTTGATGGATGTATAAAAGCTGTATGTCTAATTGCTCTTTGAATCCATTTCTGCTTTGGATCTCACAGTATCTTTGGCACTGAGCTTTGCAGCGTAATGTGGTTGTTGTTTCTTTTCTAAGTCCACTTCTGAGTAATTCCATCAAACACTCTCTTTCTCATGTGCAGTGAGAGGTAACAATTGTTTGCTGTTCATTTCTCCATATAATTCATGACTTTATGGAACTGTTGTATCCTCTGCTTTCCTTTTCCAGCTGCAAATCTGAGTTATTTGATGTTTTCTGAACGGCTGCTGTCACATACTTATCTTTGTCCTCTTTCAATTTGCCTTTCCTGTGTCTACTCTCCCTTTTTAGCTGTGACACCAGAATTGCATAATAAATTCTTGTAGTGCTGTAACAGTAACTTCTGTTCTGCTCTTAAAAATGAACTTCTTGCCTTTTTCACTGCTGCAGAGCACTGGATGCCACTCTGAAGGTATTGGCTCACGCTGAGTCTGAGGGGTTTTGTTTGATAACTGAACTAAATCCTGTCATGTCGTTTATAATTAGGGTTGTTTTTTCCCGTATTCGTTGCTTTGCACGGGATGACTTTGTGCTGCAGGCTTAAAACTCATCTTCAGGAACTTCCTGTCTGTAGGGTGAGTTTCACTGGAGAAACATTGAGTTCCTGGTTTGTTTGGGTGGGTTTTTTTATTATTATTTGGAGAAAAGAAAAAAAAAAAAAAAAAACTTCCTCTCTTCAGCGCAGCCGGGATTCGTAAAGCTCTGGGGCTTTCTGGACCTCCTCTTCTCCCACTGGACAAATTCTTCAGGGAGACAAACCTGGCCAGACCTTTTCTCTGCAGAATGACAGGGAATCTTCCTGTTTTCCCAGTTGCCCAGGTCTTTTTTTCCAGCCAGACAGAGCTGGAGGGGCAGGTGTGCAGAATGGACCCGTGGGTGATTCCAAAGGTGCTGGTGCTGTGTGTGTGCTCTGGCTCAGCAGTTGGTGCTGTTCCTATGGGAATGTTTGTTCTGATAACCCTCCTGTGATTCTGTGCAGGGTGGGAGCTCACAAGTCAAGGCTCATTCCATACCTGAAGAAGCAGAAGAAGCAGATCCCACTCTTGTTTGGCTGCTTTAATGCAGAGGTTTATGTTTAATCTCCCTGCAGAAGTTATGCCTGATTCCTGCCTTTATGCCATCATTTAAAGCCTCCTGAAGTCAGATCTTTTCCCTGCCCCACATGTGCAAGCTGAGGAAGTGGCTCTCTTGGATCATGAATATTTAGGGCTGTAAATGCCCACGACACACATACAAGCGCGTGTTGTCTGTGCCACTTGCACACACAGGCTTGGCCAAGAACACCCCACCAGCAGCAGGGCCACAAATAGATGCTCCAATAGGAAGTGGTGGTGGTGGCAAAGCTCAATCTTGTGGTAGGATGTGGTTTGGGGGCTGTTGATTCACATTTTTGCATCCTATACAGGTTAAGCTGATGTGGTGAAGCTCGGATATTTCCACCGAAAGAATGCTGGGTAAAATGTTGAATTGGAGCAGAAGTAGATGCTGAATGAAGGCTGAAAAAAATAGCCTAGTGTGTCTGAGCTATGTATAGTGCTGCACGTACTTATCTCCTGGCTGCCCAAAAATGAGCTATTGCCTTCTGTATCTGTGCTTTTGGAGCTCCAGAGGATGTCCAGGGAAGGCTGGACTTTAAGAAAAGGGCAGAATTTAAAACTAAACAAACCCCAAGGTATACATTAAATAGATTCTCCTTTTGCATTTTTGCAGAGATTTTGTCTCTGTTCTTACCGGTTGGAGGAATTGCTTTAAAATTCCCAAGCTTAGTAAAATAAGGGACAATTAGTTTTTATAAAAAGGAGGGGGATGCTGCTTGCTAGATCTAACTGGACTTCAAACCGTGGCTCTCCTGCATGTCTCCTTTCCCTGGGAATAAGTCTGGGAGCGCACTGGAGCGTGAGAGGAGATGAGAGTGACATCAGTAATCAGGCTGGGAGGCCCCCGGAGCTCTGTGCGGTGATCAGCGCTGGCCTTGCTCTCAGAGCTCGCTCTGCCTCCTTCACTGGGGATTTCCACTCCTTTCGGAGCTGCTTTAGTTAGGGCAGCTCTGCCTGGAGCTGCTGATCCAGTGAGGCATTTGTGGGCTCCCTTCAGATAGGGCTCAGCTATTTATCTGCCTCCTCCCCTAGAAAAAGTGGCTTCGGGATGTGCCTGTTTAATTGCTGTTAGCTACAGTAAGATGAAGTATGATTAATGCTGTCTGTTCTGCTCTAAATGGACAGCTGAAATGTTTGAGGAGCTTTTGTGTTAAGGTTTGATAAAGGACTTGGTGCCTGCAGGCAGCATCTGGGAGTGATGGTTTCTGGTTCTCCACTCTGGGACTTTTTGGATCTCTTCTCACACTGGACAGATTTAAGGAGAGAAACCTGGCCAATCCTTTTCCCTGCAGGAGGACAGGAAAGCTTCCCCTTTTCCCAGTTGTCCAGGGTGTTTCCAGGCAGAGTTGGAGAGGCAGGTGTGCAGAATCAGTGGGGGTTGTGTGCCTGTGAAGTCTGGGTGGTTTGATTTATTGGGAATGTTATGTGACATAACAGAGGATCTTAAATTTGGTACTGCTGATCCTATTTAAAATAAAAGACTACTTGCTTAAGTATTCCTCCACCATCTGCACAAGAAATAGAACCCCCCCCAGAAGATAAATTATCTGGTTTGGTTTCTACTTGACAAAATTATTTCTTCTAGTCTGGAAGTGCTGAGTCTTTATGTACTGTGGGTTAACAGAGTGAATGATCTGAAACACGGTGATTCCTTGATGATGAGCTCTCTTCAGCTGGTAATGCTGGAAGTTAGACTATTGGAAAGTATTCCTAAGGCTTCCAGGGTAGTTTGATTGTCTGGTGCTTTGCCTCATGAATTCCTTGAAGACAGGATTCATTTTGTTGAGAGTTTCTGATTTATGTAAAACCATAAGGGGCTTGATTTTCAATTGCCAGGTAACTGATCCTGTCACTGACATCCTCTTTGTGTTGCCACAATCCGTTGCTGTTCTGCTTTGGGAGCATTTGGAACCCACCTGATGTGAGGCAAACCTGCCATATGGTGCAGGGAAAGTTTCAAATTCAGAGCCTTCCGATGCTTTTCAGGTTAAAAACCAAAATAGAACCTCACTTCAGTGAGAGCCTGGTGTGCTTGGGGATTTTGTCCTCCAAATCTTCCTAATTTCACTGGTGCAGACTGAAACTCCTGCTAGTAATCCTTGCTGATGCTGTTGCTGGTTCCCGAATCTAAACTCCAGTCTGGGATTCCAGAGGCTTCCGTGCACTGTACCTGGTGTAACCACAGCTATGTGGCAATACCATCAGCAGCGTGAACTTTGTTGTAGCAGGGCAATAACTTCTTTATCAGCCCCAGCACTCAGAGATTGAGGTTAAAGTCCTTTTTGCCAAGTGCTGCTTTAAAATGTGGGTGCGTGGGCTGGGGAGACTCAGGATCTTGCAGTGGAATTGATCTAGGAATGAGTCCAATGCTCAGCCTTGCAGAGGCATCCTGTTTCCTTTAGAGAGGAGAGAGGAAGGATAGATTTGTGTGGGGGCTGATCCTTTTGTGTTTAGTGATGGGATGGAGAGGATTTGGTCTCAGCACCAATGCACAAAGACCCATGTCTGCAGTTGCTCACTGGGTTCATACAGTGGGTTTGTGGTGACTTCTGTCTTTAAAGACTCTCAGGTGGACAGTTTTCAACTCTTCTGATATGAATTGCTGATCTTGGAGCAAAACTACTCTCTTTTTGTGTTTCCCTGGAATTTATGCTGCCATCTTCTCTCAAAATGCTTCTCTGTGTGTGTGTCCCTTCTCTGGGAAGAGAGGCAAGAGAAAGATGGATCTAAACACACAGCTGCTCTTTGCTGTTGCTGCCCTCTTCTGTGTCTGGGATCGTTCAGGATAAAGCTTTTGAAGGATCTTATGACCTATTGTGAGGTCCCACTGCTGCTCCCTGATTGTCCCTGGGGGACAACCAGACCATTAGTTATTTGGTTTGGAGGCTCAAAGCCCCTTTTGTGTGATACAAGTGGGCTACTGGTTGAAAAGGCAGGGTCTCCTTTATTTCCCTGTTATCTCCTGCTATGTTTAGCTTTTTATTTCCTCTCCATTTTGCTAATGCTAGTGTTCATGCAGACACATGGTGAGACAGATTAGGAAGCTGATCCAGCTGAAAACTAACCCATTTTAGTAAGGGAGTGGGAAAGGATTTGTTTGGGGAGTGTTTGCTGGTAATTGGTGGCATAGGGAGGCAAAATGAATGAGGGGGAGGGAAAGATGCTGCCTCTTTTGCAGCAGCCTGTGCTTGTGTTGGATTACAGTGACTCTGGGCCCACACCCGTGGTCATTGTTGTAAATTGGGGGGCAGCAATATGCTGAAGGATGCCAGGCTCTTCTCATCCCTGATTTTGAGCCTGCACGTGAGCACTGCTGTCTCCTTGCCTTGGCTCCTCTGGGTCACTCTGCAGCCCAGGTTGGCCCCTCTGCTCCCGGTGATCCAGGGCTCCAGCTGAGCCATGCTCTGATGGCAGGCAAGTTACCTGTGAAGTTCAAACTGATCTGTGTCTCTTGTTTGTTTCCCCAGGTGATTTCTCTGGTCAGCTTTTAGCCTATTTGAGTCTTGGCCCAATATTCATTATTGTTGGCTTTGTAACACTCATCATATTCAAGAGAGAGCTTCACACGGTGAGTCCTCCTCTCCCTTCCCAGCCTCTCCTTCTGACTAAAGCCTTTTCCTTTGTCACCTGGTGCTCCTGTGTTCACACTTGTTTTTCTCTCTTTAAAGTGCAAGCTTAGGTAAGGCATCTTCCTGTCACAGAACAGCAGGAGACACTTAGCACCAGTACCAGGTTGAAAGGCTGCTCAGCCTCTGCTGATTTCTCTGTTGCTCTGTGGTGTGTTTTGTACATGATCCGTCCAAAACCATCGAGGGAGATGTCTGAGGAAGTAAAGAATGCTGTTGCAGAGTGGGAACACTCCCAAGATCCAGTAGGATCATAGCACTTAGTAGGTTCCTGCAAGCTGGACAGCATATGCAGGAAATGGTGTGTGTAACTCGGGAGGATGTACTTTCTTAGAACTACTGAGATGGAAAAGGGGATACAAAATAAAACCTACAGATTCCCAGGGGAGTGGATCTGTCTTTAAGGGCTGCTTCCCAACTGTGAATTGAATACCAGGGACAGAAGAGGCTTTCTTCTGTCCAAAGTCTTGTAGCACATAATGCTTTCCGTCTGCTCAGAAAGGTAGTTGGGAATCAGTGTCCTGGATAAATTCTGTATAAACCTCTTGTAACATTTACCCTCAGTAAACAGATAAAATTGGGGCCACTGAAAGGGTTTTGACAGCAGATTTCTAATACAGGGCCACGGTGTCATGGGAACCAGTGGCTTGAGGGACCTGGGAATGAGCCTTCTAACTGGGAAAGGCAGCTGTTAAGTTTTGGCAACCCAAAGGTTTCTTGTTGACCCAAAAGACAGAATGAGCCAGAGCAACTCTTGCACAGATTTATGGGTTTATACAGGGACTTGTTAGGTGTTGGTAAGGAGACAGTTGTGGAGGTTGATTCCCAGTTCTTCATGTGGGAAGTCACCACCACTGGGCTGGAGAGAGACACTGCCTGACCTGGGGCTCAAGATATGGAGTGAAAAATTCCTTCATCCTCTGGAATGGGACTGGGTGTTAAGGAGGCAGAGTGTCATCACCAGCTGGGAATCTCATCACAGCAGCAGGACTAATTTAGGGAAGGTGTACAGGCTTTGGAATTAAAGAGTAAAAATAAATGCTGCCAGTCTGGCTTAGCTCAGAATGTGGATCCATTTTGAACTGAAGACAGCAACTTCAAGATGAAAATAAGCATAGAGGGAAAAGACAGAAAACCTAAAAAGTCACCTTTATTTTAAGCTGTTTACCCAAATAACAGTGTCTGCACTCCCCCTGTTGGTCATCGGGAAAAGCCAATCCCCAAAAACCCACCCTGTTAAAAAAATGCCACTTTCTGCACTTGCTGGTGGAAGTGTCCTGGCAGAAGTGCTGTACAGTGTCATTTGTGTCTCATTCTATGTATCATCTGCTGAAAAGCTGCACATACACAGAGTGTTGCCAAATACACAAAGTGAGCTGAAAAATAAATGCTTTCCTTCCTCAGGTAGTGAATTTGGAAGCTGTTTTAACTCTAGCAGTCGAAAAAGAAAATTAGAAACATAATGTTTGGGGGTTTGTCAACAGAGAGAGCCTGATGAGTAGAAGGGTCTTTCAGAGTGGGTGACACAGCTGTCTTGCCTTCACAGATCTCGTTCTTGGGAGGGCTGGCGTTCAACGAGGGAGTGAACTGGTTAATAAAAAATGTAATCCGGGAGCCTCGGCCGTGTGAAGGTAGGGAATGGACCGTGGCTGTGGTGGTGTCAGTGGAGTTCTGAGTGGAGTGCTGGCTGTGAGGGGTTGGAGGGTATTTTCCCCTTTGCCTCATGTTGGTTTTGGCAGGCATGTGTCCTGTGCAGTGTGCACATATTCCAGCAGAGTGTTCTGGCTTCACATCTGGAGTGTTCCAGCTGCTGGGTACGGAGTAGGCCTTGACCATACTCTTTCTTCTTCTCTTCCCAGAAGCCCATTCAACAGTGACCACAAAATATGGGATGCCGTCCAGCCACTCCCAATTCATGTGGTTTTTCTCTGTCTATTCCTTTCTGTTCCTTTATTTAAGGTAAAAATTCCACCTCAGGTTTTGGCTGTTAATATGTTGAAACACCTGAAACACGTGTCTGCCTTGCTGGGTGCCACTTGAGTGGGATAAAGGAATTAAATCTGAGGCCCTGCACAATTTTTTTACTGAGGCCTGGCTGGATGGAGCATGTACTGTCTCCATCTGAATGTAGGGCTGGAGTTACCAAGGCTGAAAACTGGAGGGTGTGGGTGGGACCTCCTTTTACCTGTCGGGGTACAGGTCTCCCAGTTTTCTTTTTACAAGCTGTGATGGTCCCCCAGTGTGAGGGAAGAGGGGGAGAACAGGGAGGAGGAAAGGAGAGCTGCTTTCTCCTGTGTCTACTCAGTTTGTCAGTGGGCTTGTCTGCAATCTCTTAGGTAATACCTGTTGCCCACTTGCATGACCTTTTCAGTTCACCTCCCTTACCCAGGGTTTACATGCTGGGCTGTGCTTTCCTGAGGTTGCTGCTGGGGCATGGCTCTGCCTTGGGGCTCCACAAGTGGAGGAAGGCAAAACTCCCAGTCCCTCCTGGCTCTGTGGGTGATGGAGGGACTCTGATGTCTCGGCTCCCTGTTGCATATGCTCAGCATGTGCCTCTCACAGCAGCTGCAGTAACTGTGAGCGTTCTGCCGTCCATCACAGCAATCCCTGTTGACAGTGGGAGAGACACACAAGTGGCTTTCCGGCTGCTCTGTAACTGCTGTTGTGGGACAGGTTGCTGCTGGGATGGGGTCAAGCTGCCCATGGTTCCACTGGAGCAGGGCTTTCCTAAGGTTCCCCAGGGAGTGAGGACAGAGGTAAGGCCTGCTCAGCTCCCTGCCCTGTGCTAATGGCTCTCCGTCTCTTTCAGAATGCACCAAACAAACAATGCGAGGTTTCTGGATTTACTATGGCGACATGTGCTGTCCATCTGCCTCGTCACAGTGGCTTTGCTAGTCTCATATAGTAGGTATGGAGCAACTGTTTGTCTTATGCTCTCATACAGTCCCCTGGCCCTGTCACAGCCCCATCATTCCTTATCCTGCTTTTCTGACCTGATTCCCGACTGCGCTGTACAAGTCGGAGCTTTGTGGAAGTGGCCACGAGACCCTCCCAATGAGCAAAGGTGCTGCATGTGTGGTGCTTCACAGAAGCATTTATAAAACCCCAAATCAGCTGAGCTTGTACCAGTTCCCCATGGGCTCCATTCCCGTGCTCCAGCCTCGCTTCCTCGCCCTCTTGCCAGCACTAATCGTGGAATTGTTGCCCCATGCCTTGGCACAGCGGCCTCTGCAGCACATGGATTGCTACAGTTGATCAATCTGATTGTTTTGCTTGAGCATTAGCTAATCAAAACATTTATAGCTGTTTGGCTTGCAAGATTTGTGTTAAGATGAATAAATAAAACAAAACTTTGATCATGTTTTTTTTTTCCCCCCTTTAGTGGATTTAAAAAACCAATTACGTGCACACACACACACAAATACCAAGTGAGCTGCAGTGATTGGAAAACAGACAAATTCAAGCTAGAAGTAGGGCTGTGTTTTTCAGAGGAAAGTAATTACCTGTTGGCAGAGCTGACTGTACACTACAGCTGATTCCTTATTACTGATTATTTTAAATTCAGGTATATAGTCTAATTTGAAAAAAAAAAAAAAAGAGGAAATCAAGTGGCCTGTGCTAGGCAGAGGGTCAGATAAGATGATCATAATGGCTTTATGATATATGGGTGAAAAGAATTTTGAATGTAGTTCCTGCACACAGATATCAGGCAAACAGTGCAGCCTTCTGAATGGCTGTAAGCAGGGAGGAGTTTTTCCCAGTTTTTCTTCCCCCCACTATTCTTGCCAGCCTTTTTATTGAAAAAAGACACCACTCTTAACATCTGCAGGGTAACTCACTCACAGCATCTGCAGGTCCAGTGGAACCTCAGCTCTCGAGTCTTGCCTCCTCTTGTTTCAAAGCCTGTCTGGTGACTCTTCTCTTCCACTGCAGGGTTTATTTGCTTTACCACACCTGGAGCCAAGTCCTATATGGAGGTGTGGCAGGAAGCATCATGGCCATAGCCTGGTTTGCCTTCACACAAGAGATCCTAACTCCTCTCTTCCCGAGGATAGCTGCGTGGTAAGGCTCTTTATTCTGTGCAGGCTTGTTACAGATGTTAGCAATGAGAATTCCTGGGCTCTGTCCCAGTTTTGCATACTGACTGTTGTGTAACCTGCTTGTTCCTCCATGTTTTCTTGTGCATGCTTATACAAAGGACCGTATGTCCTCGATTTAAGGGTGGGGAAGAGAGGGAATTCAATCAACTGCTATGTTTGTAAAGCCCTGCTAAAGCTGAGAGGTGTGGCAGACTGCTGGAGGAGCTTTGCAAGCAGAACAGACCTTTCTTAATGAAAGTCTAATGACCTAGTAAAATTGCAAAGCCATTTACATGCAGTATAGTCTGGAAATACTGTATAGGGAAAGAAAAGAGTTTTTTGATTAAATGTAATGAAGAATCCTTTTCCCAGCCTGAAGTGATGGGACAGTACTGTTAAATCTGGAGCATATTCTGTGCCTTTTTCTTTTGGTTGTTTTTTTTTGTTAAATCATGGTGGAGAAAGTCTTAATTATTTCCCCCTTTCCCCCACCTTGTCTGTTTTCAGGCCAATTTCAGAGTTCTTTTTAATCCGAGACACCAGCCTCATTCCCAACATCCTGTGGTTCGAGTACACAGTCACGAGAGCAGAAGCAAGGTGAGTTCTGCTGGGGGGGAGGCTGTGGAGGAGCTGTTGCTGCTTTGACTCCTTAGATGGTCCCATCTCACCCATCTCCCCGCGCTGCCGTTGCAGGAACAGACAGCGCAAGCTGGGAACGAAGCTCCAGTGACGCCGGAACGCGGGACCAGAGTTTTACCGGAGACAAGACAAGAACAGAGACCTGGGAGCAGCAAAGGAGCCCTTAAACAGACAGACCAAAGGAACAGGCAGGGACCATACCCAAAAAAACCTGAAAGCCTTTGCTCTGCTTTAGCAGCTAAGCTGGATGCTCCCTGATGCATGTGGGACCGTGCAGGAGTAGAAGCTCATTTCCAACACAGATGCACATTGCCGGTCGAATGTACCATCCTGTCTACGTCAGGGGAGGGGGGAGGAAATGGCTGGTGTCGTGTTCGGGGGAGGGAAAACCAAAAAATGAATCCTTTCTGTGACTTTCTTTTTTTTTTTTTTTTTTTTTTTTTTTTTTTTTTTTTTTTTTTTTTTTTTTTTTTTTTTTTTTTTTTTTTTTCTTTTTTTTTGTTTTGTTTTTCCAGCATGAAATATACACACTATTTATTTATTTTTTTAAATGGAACTATTGTTTTTGGGGTGGGTGAGGCGTTGATTGTGTGTTTGGGGGTTTTTTTTGCCTTTTTTTTTTTAGGGTTTTTCTTTTGGAAGAAGATGACAAAACTAATCTCAAGTGGATCATGTTTAAGTAGGGCTTTTAACTCTTACAGACTTCTTAGGAGGGAGGGGAACTAGGATGGGGTGACCTAGACGGAAGGGAGAGGAAGACTTTCCTTTCTGCAACCAGTTTGGGAGATCAAAATCAATTCCAACTGCACTTTGTACAGACAGAAAGACAGACTATAAAGATCTGATTTTTAACACTAGTGACAGTTCTGCAGGGAGGCCTGCACGGATACCAGTTAAGGGGAGTGTGTGTGTGTGTAAAACAAAGGAAAAACACAAATATACTGACTCTTATTTTTTTTTTCCACTGCTGCTCCTGTTGTGTAATTAGCGAGAGTGTCCTTCTCAGAATCTCTTCTAGGTGGCAAGATTATCGTACATATCTCACATTTATTCCATCTCTTCCTTTACACTTGTATTACCTCAGGGTTGCTGTGATCTGTACAGCTTTTTGTTGTACTGAGAGTGCTGAGGGCACCGGGAAGCCCATTGGTTACAAGCAGTGTTGTGCTCCAGCAAGTCAGCCCAAAGCCTTACACAATTCAGTTGCTGCTCTCTGTCTTAAGCACTGGATTTTTAATTTTTTTTTTTCTGTTACAGCTTAAGGGAGGGATTTTTAGGAACGAACACAGTGACAACCATAAATGAACAAAGCAAATGACTAATAAGTAGCTCAGCTGCTCTCTGAATTACTCCTTGAAGAGTCCTGTTAGAATCCAGCTGTGAACTCCAAGTAGGGAACTTGTGATGGCAGGAGCCTCTGCTAGGACCACAGTAGCTTGTTAGGGGGGAGGGTTCTGCAGTTGTAGTCTTGAATGCTGAATTCCTACAAGCAAGTTTTGCTTTCCATCCTTCTTCCATCCCAGTTCTCTGTGTGGCCAGGGGGCTCTCTGGCTGCTGTGTCTCTGTGGGAGTGTGCCTGCCATCTCTGTGTGCTGGTGATGCCTCCGACCTCTGTGACCCATGAGTTCACCTGGCAAGGGCTAAAACTCTTAAGTGCTTCAGGGCTGTGCATGGACACTTTCTGTATTTCTAGTATCTAATGCAGCAGTTGGAGTGTAACTCCAGAGAAGTATTTATTCAAAGCACAATTGACTTGAACTTTCACAGATAAAAGGAGAGCTTCTCAACTGGCTCAAAGGTCATCGGTGTGCCTTCGATGCAGTCATGTGAGCAGAGGTAAAATGACTGTCACATCTCGGTCTTGCTGCCTGTTTTACTCTCTCCACTTTAATCAGACTCCTGCATTATAAACCTGCTTGAAGTGAGATGTTGTTTTTTTTTTTTTTCCTGTTCATCTTGGTTATTTTTTTATTATATTTTTTTTTTAAGTTTTCATCTGTGCCTGTTGCTATAGGAGTTTCTGTGTTCATGTGGAGTGGGAGGTGCTGTTGGACAACCAGAGTGTTAACTGCAGAAAGGGGCCTGATCCAGGAGATCAGGAATGAAAGCTGTTTAAATTTTGGTGTTTAAATACTTATGGGTAACAAATTAACCGTTATCAGTTGTCACAGCAAGTATATATATATTTTTTTTAAGAACTGTTTAGTATTTGCATAACATGAGCAATCCTGTGACATTTGAAGGACCCAAGCATTGGATCTGCTTTGAAGGTGCATCATAATAAAGAGGCATCTTGCAGCTCTCACAAGGACATTTGATCTGACTTAGACCAGCTCTGTTAGGATGAGACAGGACATCAGACAGGCCCTGTGACATGGTGGTACCATATGGTTCAGTCTGAAAACTGGTACTAATCACTTATGTCTTTCAAAACCATTTATTTTCTCTTTATATCTCTATTGTTAGTGAACTTACAAAGCCAGAGTGGAGATCACAGCTCCCTCTCCCAAGGCCAGGGCTGAAAGAGAGAATTGTTTCAGGAGTGGCTTAGCACTTCCCCAGCCTCTCCAGCTGTTCTGACAAACTGCTGGAAAAACTGTATCTGGAAGCACCTCCTGAGAACCAGAGCACAGGGAAGAGGGTTCATCTCCTCATGGAGAGCAGTGTAGTGTAAAAAGCTGTTCCACTTCACATTGCCTTCAAACCCAACCTTCATACAGTAATTCTTAGGAGTGAGGGAGAGGAAGAAGAGCTCTTTTAAGACACTGTAATAAACTCTTCTCTGTTCTGTGAGTTGTTTGTAATCTGCATCTTCTGCCTACTTTTGCTGTACCTTTTCAGAAATCTTTGCAATACTTGATACAGTAGAAATTCCTTAGTGATTCCGTGGATTTTCATAACTAAATGGTGCTGTGCAGGAAAAAGATTTGAGCTCTGCCTTATTATCCTACCCTTGTATGAAGTCTCCTGCCACTAGTTTTCTGAAATGGAATATTTTCTTTGGAATATGTGGCTTTGCAAGCAGATGCTTTCTATTCCTCCCCTGTACTCCAGGGGGCTGGAGAGAGATAAGACAATAAAAAGGAAGGTGACAGAATGCTGTGGTTCACTGTTCTTGCTGTCCCCACACAAACATCCTCCCAATGAGGGCAGTTATGTAACTTCTGCAGTGTCTGAGGAGATTTAAGCCCTTTTGTAGCTCTTATCTGTTTATTGTGTTTCAGTTTATTCAACGAACGGTTCCAAACTTTACATGACACGGATCCCTTTACCCAAACAGGATTTTAACACAGCCAGCCAGCAAAGCATGCAACACTACCAGGCTGGGTCAAAAATTGCACTCAGACCCCAAGAGTTATCCAAATGTTTTCAGTCTATGAATTCCTTAATTATTTGTTCCAAACCGGGAGCTTTTCTGGAGCTTTAGCTTCTTGTACCTTACTTGCCTCTTGATCAAACAATCAGAAACAGGGAGAACAGTTTTAAGTCAACACTGAAAAAAATCTGAAAGGTGCGAAGCAGAAGGACATCACATTTAGAACTTGTACAGTAAGAAAAGACTTTTGAAAGGAAAAAACCTTGTAATGATTTTAGCAGTGTCCTTTCAAGCACTTCAGAAATCAGCTTGATTCATCAGAATTTCTGCTCTGTGTATCAGCAAGGATGCATTAAGTGGGTTATGAATCTTGTATCTCTTTCAGTGGGACAGCCTGCTCCTTGCAGCTGTACTCTGCTGAAGACAGTGGGATACCCAGATTTAGATCCAGGATAGATCAATCCCATCTTCTGAGGTACAGTCACAGCAGCACATGCTTATGCTTAATCTTTAATAGGCACTTTCCTTTGAGAGCCTTCCCCCTTGGAGACAGAAGTGGAAAAGGGCCAGTCTCAAATACTTCAGTGGCACTGCTTGTGCTTGAAGGCATTGCAGACACGGCAAAATAACTCATCCCCTGGCAACAGAGGCTGATTCAGTCTGGGGGCAGGATTACTTTGGCAAAAGGAGTATTTTTACCACGTAAAAGGCTCCATAAACCCAGATGTAATTTGGGTAAGGTTTGATCTTTTCTGTAGTTATTTACACAATCACAGTTTGATAATACTGAATTATCTTGCAGTTCTCAGTCTGATTGATACAGAGGAGCTGACAGAGCAGGGAGGTGGGTGCTTGCAGGTTTGTAGTGCTCCTATTCGTGTCTTTAGGCTGTCTCACTCCATTCAGGATTCTTCTAAAAGATCAACTAAACCCATGTAGATGATGTAAAAGTGACAGTTCATACAATCACTGGCTGTGCAGGTGAGTTTCAGTTAAATTTTCTTCTTTAAGGTTTGTTTAGGTATGAGATAGAAGCTTTGAAATAACATCCTTTCAGGAAAAAAATGCCAAAGCATTGGCTTGTCTTTCAAGAAGGAAAATAGAATGATTTTTTTTTCTTTTAAACATCTTTAGTGCAAATTTCTTCATGTTTTTTCACCAAGGCACTTTGATCATGTCCCTTGCAATTATTTCCCTGTTAAACACACACTCCTAATGCTTCTTGTCTATGGTGATATCCCAGCAGACATATCTTGAAGGGTGTGCAATTTAAATACAGAATTCTTGTTGCAGACACAGCACTAGAATTCCTTATTATCATACAGTTTTACTAAATGAAAGTGTAGTTAGGAGCTTGGATTCTGGCAGGATTGGTTGGAAGTAGTTCCTATGCTACCATTGTATGTTAATGTTGATATATAATCTTTTACTGTCTCAAGTTTGTCAGCCAAACATGGAAACACTATCAGGAGATCATTCTCTTACAGAATAAAGCTGGCACGAATTGGGAGTAATATTTCAGTAAGAAGTAACTCCCAAGAGTGGCAGGAAAGGTGCTGATACTGCAGGAACAGTGGATGCCACAGTGCACAAACATCTGCAACGTCCACATGTTCCCAGCTTTCTGCTTTTCAAGATTTTCTGCCTTGTTAAAAGCAGAGTGTTGTGAAAGAAGGGGGATTCTGCAGCTGTTTTTCATTTGGCCCTTAACAGATTTTTAACTCTGTGGGCCAGAAATGGAAGAGTGTTTGGAGTTCCTGATCAGAAACGTCCTTATTTGTTCCACAGCTCAGGCATAACATAACATTGTGCACAAAAAGGCTGTTTCTGAGAGCGAGGTATGAAACATAGGACTCCTGAAGGAGATGAGGCATGTGGCCTTCTGGCTGGTAGGCAGAGTCAGCATCTTTTTTTTCCTTTGCTCAGTTCCAAAGAAAGGTACAAAGCAAGTGTCCTGCTGAATGCATAGCCAGTCCCTTCTCATCTCTGCAGACAGGAGGGGACATAAAGCCAAAGCTGGCAAAACCTTAGTGAGAGGAGTTTTGTGGAAGCTTTGTGGGGGAAACAGCTTTAGGCTGAGCTGGGAGATCAATGGCAGGACCACAGCAGCAAGCTTAACAAACAGCCCACAGCAACAACAACAAAACCACCGCTAAAAACCACCTTAGTCTGCAGCGAGTCACGTTCTGTTGTTGATAAGGTCAGTGCAACAGAAGGGAGATCCTGGTGTCCTATAATGAGGGGAAGGGAACGTTCCTGTAAAGCAGATGCTGCTTGGAGTGCCTGGGATGAGCAGTGCAGTGCACTCTTACAAGGCTGGATCTGCTCTGGCTTAACTTCTTTCTCCCCTTGCCGAAGTTCAGTGGTGAAGTTTTGCTGAAGCAGCAGAAAAACCTTCAGTCAAGTTTGAAAGACGCTCCTCAGAAGACTTAACAGTAGTTGCATCACACAGTAAACATTCCCTGCTTTTCCTGGAGAACTTCCTTCCTCACCAAAGGGATTTAGATCCTGGTAAGGACTGTGCTTTCTGTATTCCTTTATAGTAAAGTTTTGTAAAAATCGTATTTGAGTCCTCTTTGAGGACAGGAAGGTGCACTTTGCCTTGACAGGAGAGGACCAGTCAGTTCTGCTTTGGCTTGAGGCTGTTTCCTTTCACTACAGTCTGGTATCTGCAGATGACTATTGTGTAACCTCTTGCTGAAAACAAATGATAGAAGCCTTCCTAGATTCCAGGGGCAGCTGTTCTCTCAATTATTGTCTGAGGAATTGGGAACTTCAGTGCATGAGGCAGAGCCCCTTTAACCAGGGGGGGTTTGCATCACATTTGCCTCTTAGAGTTTGGATTTGGGAGCAGCCTGGAGCAAGCTCCTCATGTCTAGCAGTGCCTTCTCGAGATAATGTGCCATGCGGGCGGCGTTTGTGTCGGCACAGCTGTTGAAGGCTGAAATGGCAAAGTTGATGTGCTCTTCCATGGGGTTGTAACAGACTCCATAGCCATCTGGAACCACGGGACCAAAACACATCACACAATCTGTCTTTGCTGGGACCTGTGGAGACAATGTGATTAAAACCTTCCTACCAGCCAGAGAGAAAGGAAACCACCAAATGCAAACAGCTCCGTCGACAGGAAACTCATCTCATTCCAGTGCTCTTGAAGGGCCTCTGGGCAGCCCCACCTCCCACCACACTGGTGCTGGATCCTACCATTTAGCAGCAATGTGTCTCCCTCTGCATTTCCAAAGGAATGCTTTTCCCCAGGATAAACTTGTAATAAGTCACAAGTAAGAAGGGAAGCACAGCAGATTAGATGAAGCTGTCCTGGCAGCTGGCTTTGCTGATCTCACTTGCATTTAGACACCAAACACTTCTGGTGATCCTGGCTTTGGTTAGGTTAGTTTTTACAAGGCTGTGAGGGACTGTGGCAGCTGTTAGGTCAGATCTGCACCTTTTTTGGGATTGGCAGCTGGCTTAAAAATTCCTGACCCCAAAGGAAGAGTAGTTTCTAACAGAAAGGAACGAAAGAGAAACGTGGAGAAGCATGAAAAGAAGCAGAGAAAGCACTTCTGTCCTACCTGGCTGGTTGAGAGATTGAAGTGCATTGCAACAGCATAGGCTGTGTCCATGAACAGCTCTGGCATGCTCACGAGATCCTCGATAGCCTGCAGCTTCAGGCCCAGGAGGTGCCGGTCTATGGCATTGCCCCGTATGGCCTGGAAGGGAGGAAGGGCAGGTGAAAGCCAGTCCAGCAGGTCAGTGAACAAAACTATCCATTTCTTTGGGTCACAGAAAAGAACACTTCTAAAAATCTCTCCTTTTTGCAAGTTGGAAGGAAACTAGATCTTGCCTTTAGGACTGGCAGTCAAGTCTTGATTATAAGACTATGAAATTAAAACACACCAGTGGAACCAACCTTACAGTTCCTGGCCAAGGATTCCCTCTGATTTAAGGGGTTCTCATGCAACTTTGGCATTTATGAGCAACAATGATGGTAAGAACTGAAGCTACTGTAAGGTCAGTCACAAGGGACACTTAACCCACTATGTAGAGAGAAAGGATTCTCACTCCATGGCTTTAGAGCACTGTCAGATCAGTCAGACCTCTGCAACAGCCAGATTGCTGTGTCAGCAGTGAAAGATCTGAAGGTCTTTTCTTTCCCCAGAACCCTCATTTGCTGGGTAAAACCCCAAGTCTGGCAGCACAGAGGACACTCACCATATCTGTGTATTCCCTGTGGGCCTGCGTGGCTCTCCTCAGCAGCTCTGCTTTTTCCTGGTCCTGAGAACACACAGATGGAATTTTTTTTTTTTTTTTTTCAAGAATAGAAAACCTCATTTTGGCTGTTCCTTTAGGATGGAGGGCATTTCTGCCTTGGGTGTCTGCACAAAACTAACTTTTATAATTACTAGATTTAATTTTTACATTGTTTTGCCTGGCTCTGTTAGTTCATTCCGAATGGAGTTAGAACTTAGTCTGAGTAGCCAAACAGACTTTTAGAAGGGACTTTCTGGTGGGATTAGAAACATCCATATGATGTTTCCCAAATGAATCCCACGGTTTTATGTTTGTAAATACTTACTTCAAGCTACGTTTTGGCTCAATTTCGTAACGGGTGCAGTTCCGCTTAGCTGAAACCAGCTGACACAGGCTTAGCCAAGTAAGCAGCTTTTATTTTTAGGAGCGGAGTCCTCTCACTCCGAGTTGCTCACCGATTTGTCAGGGCTGTCCATGGACTGCACAAACTTGAGGGAGTCCATGGAGGTGGAGCGGATGGTGTCGGTGCGGCCCAGGCGGAACATCCTCAGCGAGGCGCTCTCGTAGGTGGCACAGGCGTGGCCGTACATCCTGCATGTGGAGGGGACAGTCACAGCACTGAGTCTGCCCTGGGGGAAAGGCCCTGCAGAGGCCTCTCTCTGTGCCACCTTTATCGAGCTCCTGTGTTGGAGGAGGTTGAGGAATTCCCTCCTGGGGCTCTTACCTGTAGTATGCCAGCTGCAAGGCCAGCTGGATAAAAGCATCAGGGCTTATCTTCTCTGACTTGGGGAAGCCTTTCCCAAACTGATGAAAGACCATGACTTTGATATCCAGGTCTTCGACCATTCTGCAAGGAAAGGAAAAGTGTTCTTTGCCTGTTGCTTGTTCTTGTAACGTAGAGGAGTGGATTTGCTTTCACGAGGCTCAGAGGGAAGAGGCCATGTGGATCTGACCTATGCAGGGACAGAGAGCTCCACTACACACATATTTCTTTGGGCAGCACCACAGAGGTAAGATTTTTTTGGCCAGTGCTGAAAATCTTCACCAGCTCAGATGGGCTTGTGTGTGTTTATGCTCCAGTATTTCCTAGTTGGATCCAGTAAAGTCTTGCTCTTTCCCAGCAAATGGGATGAATCAGTAATTACCCCTTTCCAGCACCTTTGACTCTATTCCTGGCAGGTGGCTTTAGTGCTTTTCAGCTCAGTTCAATGCTGTTGACCCCAGAAGTCCCTGGGAACACTCCCTGGCTGCAGCAGGGAAAGCCTCATTTTAACCACTGACGTGCTCCAAAGGGGGACATGAATTACTCCCCCCGTCACTCCCCGACCTCTCCACTGCTTCATACTCACATGTTGAGGTTTTGCTTTGCATTCTCTATGTCATTCTTGATTTCTGGGGTGATGTTAAACCGCAGCTTTTTGGGCATTGGCAGAGGAACCGTTGGTGAGCTGACCTTCTCAGGTTTCTTCCTGCACAGAGAAATGGCTCTGTTTGACCAGACCTTTGACATAAGGCTCAACTTGAACACCAGAGCCTGGATAGAAATGCACAGGAGATCTTCCCTAACACCTTGTGACACTGGTTACAGTCTGAAAAATTCCTCTCAGTGCCAATAAGGTGTTTTACAAAGGGTGTGACTGAAGTGTCTTCTGTGCCTTCTGCCCAAAAGAAGAAACAAATCCCTCTCCCTGGCTAAAGTTGGTGCTATTCCCCAAGAGTGGGAGCAGTACTACCAGAGTAGCTTGGCCACTCAGTTCTCACAGATACAAGAACTGCAACACCTAATTAGCATCCCACTACCCTTTCTCCAGAACAGATTCCTGGGGTGCGAGTGGTTTAGAACCTGTTCCCAACAGTGAGGAGGAGCGGGAGAGGCAGGACTCACGTGAACTCCACGACGTGATCCAGAAGAGCCACGATGGGAGGACCTTCAGAGGGAGCGTGTTCATACACGAGACCACAGGAGCCATCTTCAGCAATGATGAACTGGGGGAGGAGCACAGCAGGAATAACATTACCACGTGCTGGCTTATCCTTTTTGATGAGCTGGAACATCTATACTTTATCCCATCGGTGAAGAGTTCCAAACAGGAACAAAACAGCTGAAAACATTATGAAGAGTTCAGCAAGTACAAGAAGAATTTTCTAAGCACCATTGCTACAATCCACGACCCAGGATATACCAACTAATGAAGGAAAAGCTCCAACAGCAGCTGCTGTTGAAGGCTCTTGACAAAACTGAATGGAGAAGAGATCAGAGGGATGCTGTGGGATGGCAGCTTATGTCTGAGAAAACAAAACAAAACGCCATTGGGCAGCTCCTGGCAGAACCAGGAAAAGTGACGAGCCTGGAGGAGATCCCAGGAACAGACCTCCCATCGTCTGGGCTGCCTCTGAACAGACAAGGAATTGTTCACTGCAGGCAGAAAATTGATTTATAAGGAACACAAAGACCTGCTGCACTGAGTAAGCGTGGGCAGAGGCAGTAAAAGCAACAAATCCCTGAGGCAGCAGAGTGCTGGTGACTGGAAGGGGAACCACAGGATCTCGCCCTGCCAGCCACCACACCTCGTCTTCCCTTATTTTTTTGCCCTCTCGACAGGAGGAAAACTCACCTGTGCAAGGGATTTCTTGGACCTTTGTAGTCTCAGGAGAAAAACACCTGCAGACCCAGACCTGCAGCACCTGTGGAGCAGCAGCACTCACCTGCAGGGTCTTGTCAAACCAGCGGTTGCCGCTGTTCCAGCGGCTGCCGCCGCCGTGCAGCATCTGCGCGGCCACGCGGCTGTTGTAGATGTCCTCGGACACCCGGGGCATGGGGGCATCGAGGCACACCGTGCAGATGCTCTTCTCAATGGCACGCACAGACTCCTTGTTGGTCTTGTCTGGGAGGGAAAGGAAACACCAGTCAGGAAGGGGAGTTGGAAACCTGGTTGAAAGGGCAGGTTTGGAGGACCCGGTGTTGGGATCCAGTGGGGGTGTACAGAGCTATTGCAGGTGTGAACGTGCTGCATTCACCCTCCTTTTCTCACATTTCTTACGTGTGCAAGGCAGCAAACTCTGGGATTTCAGGTCTAACAAACCAAGTTTCAGACCTTGCACTGATTGCTCTTTGAGGTGAAAACCTCATGTCACCTGTCCAGAACAAGCTTCCAAATTTCTGAGCAGAGCACAGGGATGAGGTTGGCAGCTCAAGGATCTGCAGTGCTTGTTAGCACTCGTGTGTTAGGGGCTTTACAGACCTTTCAGGAGGTTGTTGTAGGCTTTTGCCCAGCTGTTTCGGTGGTTGGTGGTGAGGATCCCAATAGGTTCTTTGTTTGTTTGGAGGGAGGTGTTCCATATCTTCTCCAGCTGGATGAAGAGCTGCTCAGCGGTCAGGGGAGATCCATCACTGTTGTAAACATCCAGCTCAAAGAACTGGAGGTGAGAAGAGAGGACAAGGACAGAGGGAATGAGAGAAGCTTGTTATTGTCCAGACCCAAAAAACAGGCAACAGCTACTTTGGGAAGGTAAGACCTGACCTAAGAACTCAGCTTTAGGCAGAGCTTTGAAGGATACTCAGAATTGAGAAAGCCAAGTCCAGCTTCCCTTGCAGGGCATAAATACAGTCCTGGTTTTCAGAAGCTCAGAAACCATGGTAACCAGAGCCAAAACACATGAGGAATTCCTGTTTCTGAGACCAAGCTGTGGTGGGAGTGTTTGTTATCCAATTTTCACTTGCAGTTTCCAATTCCAGGCATAATCTCTAGGCTCTGGGAGATGGGAATTTCAGGGACAAGAAACAGAGGAAGAGAGCATTTTTTTTGCCTCCCAGTCTGTTGTTCATACGTGGCAATTCCAGCTGTTGGCCTTGCTGGCCAAAGGGGATAAAAATGAGCAGGAACGACTCCCAGGTGAGGCAAACCTTGTGGGCAGAGACTTTCTGTTGTTCCCTCTGTGGATCACAACTAGCTGAAAGGGACATTTTGAAAGCTCAGGAGCTGCCATACCTGGAAGTTGTGAACCACTGTGATGTGCCTGGACTGCTTTTTGCCTTTGGCATAGTTGACAATGGAGTCCCGCTTGGGCCCGGGAATGCGGCAGGACGAGAGGATCTGGTAGTACTGGTTCATGCAGAGGGGCTTCCCACCCATGTACTCCACTGGAAGGGTCTCACTAGAGACACAGCAAGGTGAGGAGGGAGGGAGAGAGAAAACAGATCAGTGTGAGCAGGTCTGTGCTCCCCACACAGGGCACAGGCTCAGCTCTGCAGCTGCTGTCACTCCAGCAAGACCTAAAGGTGCTGGTGGGATAAAAAAGGGGCTGTCCTTCCCCGTTCCTACCAGCTTTCTTAGTAGGGGCTGCAAAAAATGTCTGTTTGCTGGACTTCCATTTGGAAAAGGGAAAAAGCACCATCCTCTCTGTGACACCAGAGAAATCTCTGCACCTACTCCCTGGCTGTAGTTCTGAGTGAGGAGTGTCTGATGTGCTGATATGACATGAGCTAGGCTGGGGTCAATCACTCACTTCAGCAGTCATAGTCCAACTACCCTTTTCACAGCTAGCCCTGAACCTTGTTTGACTGTTGGTGCTCGTAAACATATTTTTGGACCTTAAATACGGCACGTTCAGCAGAGGTTTGGTGGTGACTAAAACTAAAAGAATAAGGGAGGCACAAATTTCTCTAGAGCTCATCCTGTCTGGCTGGGAGATGAGAAACACCAGGAACCCCAAATGAGAGAAACAAATTCCTGCTGCCTGAGCTGTAGCTTGTCCTGTGAGCAAACAGAAGCACGAAGCTCCACAGGACTGGCAGTCGGGCTCGCTCCCTCCAAGCACGTTCGTGTGCCAATGAAAGCATTGAGGTAAACAAAGAACACGAAGAAAGAAAAGTAAGTTTGCTTTTTTTTTTCCAGTAGTGGTGACTGTGGCAGCGAGCAGTGCTGGGGATTACAATATCTCTTTCCAAATATGCACTGTCTTCTCTTGCCTTTCTGTTTGGAAGGGAGATTTATGGACGAGGCTCAGCCTCTCTGTGACAGGAAGGAACGTGTGAGCAGTCAGGAGGGTCAGTAACTCACTTGTCAATCATGGACTTGAAATCCAGGATCCCCTCGATCAGCTTGGCAGCAAACCTGGAAAAATATCAAATGTAACAAGCTGAGATTCAAGCACAGACCATCTGGGGCTGAGGGTTGAGCAGAGGAGGATTAGCAGAGCTGCTTTCTGCTCCTTAGAAAGCTCAGCTTTACTGCCAAGCCCCTGTTGTGCCCATCTCTGATTCATTGATACAGCCACTCTGGGCTGTGATTTGAGATTTCTGGGTAGTCCTACTACGTGGCACTTTGTTTTTTTTTTTAATGTATCTTACTGTATAACCAAGGAATGCTGGACAGCTTTCAGGAAAGCAGGATTCAGTGCAGATAACCCTCTAACAGCAGCGTTTGTTACTGATGTGTGAGGATTTTACCACATCCGAGTTCTGAATCTCAGAATTAAAACAGCACCAAGAGAAGGGGATTTCTGCCCTTTCCTGGCCAGGGGCTGCCTTGGAGTGTCAAGCCAAGACACAGAAGTTTCTCCCTCATCCAAGACTCATCACTGCTGACTAAATTCCTACCCAGTGAACATCCTGCTGCTCATGCAACTCCAAAGAACCTTCCTCTGGCACTGAGGGCTCTGAAACAAAGGCAGAGGTGCCGCATGTGGACACTGAGGTGTTGTGTTTACCAGGATCATGTGGACGCTGCCAGTGCCAGCAGGGCTGTGACAAGATTGGCCTTCTCTGACCTAGGAGCTCCCACCCATCCATGGGGGAAAGGAGGCAGGGGGTCACTGGGACAGGAGGTTGTGCTCAGGCGGTGCCAGAATTTGGCATTTGCAGGTTGTGTCCTCTAGGATGGCTCAGCCCACCCATCCCTAGGAAAGACCAAAGGACACAACTCCAAGAACTTAAGGGCTGTTAAAAAAGACATCCTGCAAAACAGTTTTCAATTAGAATTTCTCAGCCTCATTGTAAAACCTGAGGGAAACACCAGTGAGACAGCCTATGTTCCTTTTCTGAGACTGAACAGCCTGGGAGCAGAGTCTGGGCTCAAGGAGGAGACAGGGGAGAAGTTGGTTGACTCATTTTCAGACAGCAATGTTGCCAGATTAAGGAGCGGAGAACCACACTTTCTAAATTTGCCTTCTGGTCTCTGAAGCTTTAGTCTGAAGCTGCACTTCTTTGTACAACTTCTTTGTACAGCCACAAAATACCCAAACACACATTTAGATTGTAGTTTTACAGGGTAGCCCAGCTTCTTATGCAGTTTCTCAATTCCACTAGTTGGGGCACTGGCAGTTCTCCAGATCTTAGCTGCTATTTGGACAATTTAAGAAGGAATAACATGACAGAGCTTTCAAAGGTGTTTGTGTACTCTTGCACTGTCGTAAGGTTTATCCTCTGCACCTCTGCTCGGGTGTATCACGGGGGTGGGAGTGAGGATTTGTTCCTCACTGATCCTCTGGCTGGTACTTTTGATCTCCAGGGCAGTTTGGAGATAACTGTGGCAAAGGTAACTGTGTAAAGGTCAGTGCTAAAGTTTTGCAGGTGGATTCAACACACTCAATAGCAGTGGTTAAAAATTAAAGGGAGCCCACAAGGAAGAGAGGGCATGGCAAGGTCTGATTGCGAGGAAAGGCCTGGAGTGGAGAGGCTGATCACTGTGAATTTCCCAAACCATAAACCACAAGTGAAACAACACAATAGGGGACAGTTCCTGCCAGGCTCCCCCATCCCTATAAACCATCAAACTCCAGAGGCATTCCTGGATGATCTCCCTTACATGCCTGGGCTACTTTTTATGGCTCCTTTAAACACAGATACAACCTTAGTGGTTCAGATACACCCTCACAATGCCTCTAGCCAGTGATGTGACCATCTTGCAGTGAAAATCTGTGCTGGAGCAAAGACCTAAACGTAGGTGTCTAGTCCCTGTTTAATACCTGAACCACTGGACCCTTTGGTTTTCTCCCCTAATTAAATATTTAGCCTGGTGCAACCAGGAGTTTCCTTACAGCCTGGCAGCCTTGCCCTTGGAGCCCTCTTGCACAGCACAGACAGCTCAGACCTGGGGACCACATGATAATTACTTTCCCAATCAGCCTGAACACCCTCATCCTTGTCCAGCACAGAAACCTTATCCCATCTGTAACCTAAGGGAAAGGAGAAAAGGACTTTACCTGAGCTGACCTTGCCGATCCAGAAAATCCTGCTTGGGTAAAACCACACCTGGGCTGGAGTGGACCACAACTGGCAGGCGATATTCCAGGTAAGCAGTCTTCAGCCACCAGTCCGAGAGCTGGGATGGAGAAAGGCAACGTGCAGGGATGAGCTGCTGTTTGACCCGAGCCTGGCTCTCAGGTCTCAGCACCCTGCCCCACACTTTACAAACAAACTGTCAGGGGTTTCTGCTTTGCAGGTGGGAAGGGGAGAGGGCGATTTGAGCAAGGCAGGGGGTGGTTCTTAGGGCAGGGCTCGCATAGAGGGTTTCCTTCAGCTTCTTGGGGCAGCTGCGTGATGCTGACAGAGCCTTCAGCAGCCACAGGCAGGGCCAGCAGCTCCCTGTCCTGCCATAAACCTCTCTGCTCACCCAAGTCGTGCTGAGGAGCTCAGGGAGGTCAACAACAAACTGGTCATGAAGGTGATGCCATTAAAACACAGGTGCCCATCAGCCCTCCACCCTCCCTCCCCAGAGCTGGGGACAGTCCCCACCTACCCAGTTCTCTGTTTTCTTGGCTCTTCTCTCCAGGCCCTTCTGCAGCCTCTCCCCGACACCTCCCGGCTTGCGGAACTCGGCCACCAGCTCCTGCGTGTGGTTTAGCTCCTCCTGGCTCACGATGGGCTGCAGGGTCAGCAGGTACCTGTCCAGGGTCTGCTGCAGTGGTGGCACGGGCAGGTGGGGCAGTGCTTCCTGGTGGAGCTGGAATCTGCCCGGGATCTTGCCTAGAGACGTGGTCGCTTTCAGCAGGCCACAGGGCCTGGCCTGCAAAGCACAGAGCAAGTGTCGAGACAGAACCTCCCCCCGGCCAGCACCGATTCTCAGCTCCTCTGAGAAAATGCTGCTGGGATAATCTCCCACGCTGGGCACCTTCCAGCTGAGAGCCTCCACGTGTTTGACAAAGTCAAACCCTTCCATCCCATGGTAAGTGGGAAGAAAGTTGGGAAAGAAGTAATCATCTTATGTACTGTCAGAAACTTTCAGTGTTTCTTACAACAGCAGAAGGCTAAAAAGTGAAACAACCCTCATGCCAAACCAAACTACCCTTTTGGCTCTGAGGAGGCAGAATTTAGCTAAGTTTGGGGCAGGATTAAAATGCCTCTTCTCTGAATGTACAGGAAATTGTGAGTGATGCCAGCGGGCTCCTGGGGTCCAAGTGGGTCGCGTGGGAGCAAAAGGCTCAGAAAGCACCAACCATTTCCCTGGGCAGACAAATGAAACGGAGCAAACCCAAGTGCTAACCAGGAAATGAACCTGCCAGTTTTCCCCCAAAGGAATAACAACATCCTCCTTGGTGAACAGGATGAACATCCTTCAGTTTGAAGATGTTTAAATTGTATTCTAAAGGTTTTCGGTTCCCTCTGCATCTCCCTCTCCATTGTATCTACTGAATCAGACACTCCTGCAGGACTCTGGACTTTGCACTGTGAGTGTACTGAGGATGCAAAGCCAGAGAGAACAATCCCTTTGGTTTTCAAAACAATGAGAAAATAGCTGTCCCCACACCTCCTCCCAGCAATTAAGCACAGAGAAGAAAAAAGAAAGGTCTAAATCTGCACAGTGACAAAGCCCCCAGGGAAAATGCCCTGTGCTCGCTGTGCGACCTGGCAAGAGCTCAAGACCTCACAACCGAGGTTTGGAGAAGGAAGAGAAAAACAACACACGAAGGATTTACTGAGGCAGGAAAGAAGAGCAGGGCTGGGAAGAAACAAAGGGTGTTAATCATGGAAGTGTGGGCATACTGTACCTTCTCTGCTTGCTCCTGCTTCCTATCCATGGCTGGGAGGACAGAAAAGACCGTAAACCTCTCCCTCGGCCTGTCTGGGTCTCCTCTTCCACCTGACAATGTGCTGCCCGTGCAGGGCGTCACCTTATTAGCCAAGTGCCACATGACTGCTCCGATCAGAGGGCTCAGGGGCTGGCACAGCCCCGGGAAGGGACGGGAATAATCAAACCAGGGTTGCGACAGCTGCCCTGGAGGTGCCTCCCTGAGCAGCCCTGGCAGACACCGCCTGCAGTGCTGATCAATAACTGTGGGCAGAGCCTCTCTGACCGACAGCGCTGGGCTCCAGCCACAGCAGGAGTGACAGCACTGGGGATGTTGTCCCCTCAGCCTCTGCACGGATGGTGAAATTGCTGCAGGTGTTGTGAGAGGTGCCTGGACACGAGGAGAGACCCCGGTTTATGTCCTGGAAGCAGGTGGCACCCTGGGCTGGCACTGGAAGGGACAAGCTGCATGGAGCCCTTCCGTGGGGGGTGGGCAATTCAGTCCCTTTAGTCAGGCAAAGGTGGCCAGAGGGTGTCAGGTGAGGACAGTGACCCAGCCTCACTGGTGGTAGTGGAGGATTTTAGTTGGAGATGGGGGCAAATTCAGGTCGGGGCTAAAGGAAGTATCTTAACTGCCCTCACTCCCCATGCATGTGTGAGCATTACTGCAGGCTGAGACTTTGGGGAGTTCTGGCTTGTCGACCTTTAAAATAAAATACATTTTGGGGTATATCTCCACGGCAGGGTAGTGAGAGACTCACGCAGCCACAAGGACTGTCAGCCCCTCCTTTGTGTCTGTCTCATGATTAGAGGGGCTGACAAGCAGAGTCTGCAGAGCTCAGCTCAAGTACGACGGTTGCAAACAAACACTTTCAGATTTTCCCCTGGGGTAGCAAAGAAAATCCCAAACCAAACTAACTGAAGCCACTGCATGTTAAAACGTGGAATGCATTTGCATCTTCCCTCTTTTATGTCCCCTGCTTGTTCAGTCTGGAGTTAAACTCCGAAGTGTTTGGTGGGAGGAACAGCCCTCAGAGCTGAGCCGAGAAGGCATCTGGCAGCAAACAGAACAGCCCACCTGCCCCCACAAGCACCAGGAAAATGAACACCAGTGGATCAGGGTGTGCAGCCCGTGGGCTGGCATCGCTCCCCAGCCACGTCCCAGCTCGGCAGATGACCTCTGCCAGAGCCTGCAAAGCTGGTGGGGAAGGAAATCCACCTGCAGCCAGGGGCTGGGGGGCAGGAGGAATTTCACAGCAGTGTCTGATTCTCAGCACGGCCACAGCATTTGAGTGTCAGATGTCAGAGGTCTGGCTTTGTCTTTTATTTTTAAATCAGAAGCTGGAGACCCCCTGAAGCCCAGAGACAACCAGCCCTACCTGGGCCCTCAGTAACCCCGGGAGTGGATCCATCCTGTAGCTGCTGTCCTGCTGCTCTGCCCCCTCCTCCCAGGACCTGTCAGGGTTTGCAGTGAGCAGTTCCCAAGCCCAGTCCCTCCACGGCCAGTGCCCACCTTCCTGCTGGCCAGCCCCAGTGGGACACCTCAGTACAGGAAAGACAAGGAGCTACTGGATGGGGTCCAGCAGGGGCCACAAATATTATTAAGGGACTTGAGCATCTCTTTTATGAGGAAAGGCTGCGGGAGCTGGGCCCGTTTAGTCGGGAGAGAAGAAGGCTGAGAGGGGATCTCACTAAGCATGCAAAGGAATGGTGCCAGACTCTTTTCCATGACGCCCAGCAACAGGACGAGGAGCAATGGCCATAAACTAAAACACAAGGAGTTCCACACCAACATGAGGAGGAACTTCTTTCCAGAGAGCACTGGAACAGGTGCCCGGGAGGGTGTGGAGTCTCTCTCTCTGGAGACATTCCAAATCCACCTGGGCCCGTTTCGGTGTCACTTGCTCCAAGTGACCCTGCCTTGGGGATCTCCAGAGGTCCCTTCCAACTTTAACTACCCCGTGATTCCGTGATTTCCATCCCGAACAGCCCAACCGCTCCCGCTGCCGCCGGACACGGGGAGGAACCGACCGGCCCGGGGGAACCGACCCGGGCAGCGCCCCTGCCCCGCACCGGGGGGGGCTGCGGGGGCTGGGACCAACCCTCCCACGCTGCTCACACCGCGGGACACCCGCCCTAGGGCCCTGACCGGGGACCCGTCCGTGCCTGTGCCCAGGGCTGGGGCGCGGGGCCGGCCCCGGCAGCGGCACTGCCCGGAGCCACCGCCTGCCCCGGGGAAAGGCCCCGCACGGACCCGGCTGCCACCTCCCGCCCCGGCTGCCACCCACGCAGCCCCTGCCGTGCCGCCCTTACCGCAGCCCTGGCCACCAAGGCGAGCATGGCCCCGCTCCCCCGGCCCCGCCGCAAGGACACCGCGGCCGCCCCGGCACCGCCACCCGCTCCGCCGCCGCGGGGCGGGGCCGCCCCAACGCCATCTTGGAGAGGGGCGAAGCCCGCGCCGCCATCTTGGAGAAGGGCAGGGTGATGCTGCGAGACGAGAGAGCGCCGCGAACGGTGTCACGGCCCCTCTCTCATCTGCCTCCTCCCCGCGCTGGTCAGGAGGGTCCTCCCGCTCTCCTCTCCGCGCCTCCCCGAGCCCCCGCTCTCCCGCTCTACGGGCAGGGAGGGCCGTGCCCCACACAAACATGGCGGCGCGGGCGCGACGGCGGCCGGGAGGGGCCGCGCCGCGGGTTGACAGCGCCGGGAGCGGCGGGGCCGGGCGGCGTGCCCTGCTCAAAGATGGCCGCCTGCGGCTTCGGCCTGCGCGGAGGCGGGAGGTGAGGGGAGGCCGGGCCGGGCTGCGGGAAGATGGCAGAGAGCGAGCGGCGGGCAGGTGAGGGGCCGCCGGGGTCTGCGCTCGGGACCCCGGAGGGGACTGTCCTGGTGGCTGGGGTGCGCCGGCCGCGGGGCATCGCGCCCCGGGGGCGCCCGGCCCGGGCTGCGGGTTGGGGGCGGCGGCAGCGCTCGGCCCGGGGCGAGGGGAGCGCGGGGGGTTTTGCTGAGGGCGGGGAAGGGACGGGGCCCTCGAGGCGGGTGGTCAGGGCTGAGCCCCTGGAGCCGCCGGATCGGGGGTCCCTGTCACCCCCAGCCCGGTTTTGTGACTGATTCCCGTGCGGAACGGGGGGCGTTTGCTGTGGGATGCCCCGAGTTTAACTCCCCCCTCCCCGCACCACCGCACAGCCCTGGAAGGGTCTCCTCGGTCCAAGCTGCTTCTCGTCGTCAGGCTGACCGACTGTGCTCCATCGCACCAGCAGGTTCGGATTCTGGTGTATTTACCCCAGAACACTGTAACGCCTGCGGCCCTTCCCTGAGTATTCCTGGTCTCCTTCCGAAAAGGCACTAAACGACTTGTGGGGCAGAAGGAGCGATGGCTGAGAAGCAAATGCAAAGAGATGAAACAAAGTTCTGTGAAGGGCAAACACCTGGATCCCTGGCCCAGGACACTGCCCTGGCCACCCCACTGGGGTTTATGTGTCACCTGCGCCCATGGACGCATCAGTGTTTGCCTTTTTACGCCACTGCTCGGGAGTTTTTCGTTGTTTTTGTGTTATAAACACTTTTAAAAGCAGAGCATCCATCCTGATGTCGCTGTGAGTTGTGTGCAGAATTTTCAGAAGAGAGACACACACGTGCCTTCCACTGAAATTCATCACGTGTTGTTCCTCTCATCCTCCGACCTGGAAGTTTTGCTGTAACTTCTGCAGGAATGAGCCAAACGCTGTGACACCCCAGGGCAGGAGATGAGGCTGGGTTTGTTCTGTGCAGGGGGAAGGTGAAAGGCAGAGAAGTCAGATGACTGTCAAAGGTTGTATGACAAATCTATAGCAGGCTCTGCATGGTTCCTGGGACTTTGGATTCCTTTTAATCTGATCTGCCTGCCAGGCAGCACTGTGGAAAAAGGCTGCTGATGTTTAGGGTGGTGTTTTCTGTGTGAATGCAGTTGATAATACTTTAAGGAGTTGGAACTGGTGGTATTTGTTAGGGAGCCAGTGCCTGAAATGACCAAGATGTGGAGGCCAGTCGCTGAGCGTGCCAGGTCAGCTGGTGTTGGACAAGTGCTTGCAGAAAATCTGGGATTGAAAAGGTGGACACAGTGGCTCTGACAGAATTTGTAAATTGATATTAGCACCCAGGTTCCTTGACAGACCTCTCTGCACAGCCTCTTGCTATTGATGGTTGCACTTACCAGAAGCAGAATACAAATTACCTTTAACCTCCTGGAGCTTTTCTGGCTCTGCAGGCTCATCCTGGGTTCAGGTGCTGAGGAAAAGAGCCCCTCTAATGTGTTAACAACTCGCATTTGTGTTAAATATTAAATCCTGGGCTCTGAGAGAGCTTAATTAAACATTGATTTCAAAGAGAGGAAGATACAGGATTTCTTCTTCTCCACTGCCTCTGTTTTACCTGTTTTTTGCATCTCCCAGGTGCCTCTGAGGAGGCGGCTCCTCCCGTCCAGCAATGCTTCATGATCCCCAAAAAGGAGATAAATGTGGTTTCCGACATGGCCAAGTGGAAGCGCTCCCAGGTATGGCTCTGGGAACAGGGAAAACTGGGAAGTGCTGCTGGGCTTTCAGTGTCAGCCAGGTCTGGTCTGGGAACAGCCAGGAGGTAAAGCAGGGTTGGGCAAGGAATGGGAAATTAATGGGTTTGTGCCCGTTTGTAGGAAAATGACTTGGCAGTGAGTTGTGGAGGAGGGAGCCAGGGAAAGCCCAGAGGCTGAGGGAGACCAGAGATGCTTAGAAATGATTCCTGCTCCCTCCCAACAAGCTGAATGGGAACCTGGTGGCTGTTTAATCCCACCTGGCCTGTAATTTATACCCAAACTGAAATTACCCATTGCTGTTTGAGCCCACCTTGAATATGGTCCTGCTGCCTGGGTTGGTCCTGGGGCCTTCCCACTGTGCTGTACTGGAAAAGGCTCTGGAGCCAAGGCCTTCAATTTCCAGGATAATTTTTGTTTACAGCATGTGTGGAGCTGGTGGAACAGCAGGTTCTCCCCTCTCTGCCTTTGAGGGATCGGGGTGTTGGCCCAGACTTGTCCCACCAAATTCTTGCTCGATGACTGACCTGAGATGTCCGGAAAGATGCTGAGGTTGCATCCAGGTGTCAAGCAAACCTCTGAGTGCAGCTTCTAATTTAAGTCTCCTGGGTTTAAGGACTTGCCCTTGGTCAGGATTTTGGTGCAGGGAGGGGGAGGTGACAGTGGCTGCTCTGGAGCTGTGGAGCTGCACTGGAGATGATGCTTCAAAAGCAGCAAATTTAAAGCAAGGAGCCTGGGCTGTGTCCCAGTTCCCTATCGTGTGTGAGCACAGGGGAAGAGTCCAAGGAGGAACGGGGAGATAACAGCACAGGTCTGGGAGGAGCAGGGTGCCTTGGCACAGCTGAGACTCTGCAGAGCTCAGGAGCTTGAATTTAACCTGATAGGAGCTGAGGGAATGATTTTTGGGGGCATCGTGAGCATTTTTAGGATGCTCCTCTCTGTAATTTTCAGAGTGCAGTCACTGTCTGCCTTCTGCCGCCGGGGCTGCCAAAAAGAGTAGCGGCCTCACAGCAAGCCCTGCACCCCTGTGTGTCTCCAAGGAGGCAGTGCTGTGTGCTGGGAAAGGTTTCTTTGGGGTTTAAGATGCTCTCATGCTGTGATTTGTGCTCAGACAGCCCGTGGGCACTCACTAATGCCCTGCACTCTTGGTGTGTTTGCAGGCGTACGCAGACTACATGGGCTTCATCCTCACCCTCAACGAAGGTGTCAGGGGCAAGAAGCTGACCTGTGAATACAAAGTGTCAGAGGTAGGAGAAGAGTTTGGATCCCCTTGTTTCTCCTGTCCTGCCTTTTTATTCTTTCTTTTTTTTTCTTTTTTAAAATTGGCTCTACAGCGAATATTTCCTATGTGAGGAATGAATTGGCAGCTTATCTGGGAGCCAGGGAGAATGAATGTGGTTGGGTTATGCTTGGGGATGCAAATGTCAGGCTGCCATCCCCACTCCAGAGTGCAGAGGCTCTGAGTGTGTGCTCACTGGATGGGACACTGAGCGAGTTGCAAGTGGGTAGAAGCCAGTGGGGAAAAGGAGGGTGCAGAAGGGACACCTTTTGACCCTGTTTTCACAGTCTGGCTTCAATCAGCAATGCTTCGAAGATGTGATATTCTTTCCTGGTTGCAGGCAAAAGGCTGAGATGTCTCTACCATTCCTTGTCTCCCACTGGCTTTTCTGTAGGACCTTGGGCAGATCACTTCTCTCTTTGTCCCTGGGCTCCCTCATTACTCAGACTGTGTCAGCAGCACCAGTGTCCTTGTCCCAGGCTGGGGCTGAGCTGTGCAAGCTTTGGCTCTGACAGTTGTGACCTCAGGGCACATCACTGGCTGCACCTTGCCCAGGGTTGTGCTGATGGGGGCTGTGGAGCTCACAGGGAGCTGGGCTGGGCTGAGAGGTTTAACCTGAGGGGCAGGATTGCCCCTTCCAAGGTGTGAAGCAGAAGGGGCCTGTTTTTCCCCTTCCATGACTGTGGCTGTCACCTGGCCCTGCCTGTTGCCATGGCCAGTTTTGATGTCTGTTCACCTTCTCGGGGCACGGAGAGATGATTTGGAGCCAGAGGGAAAGGGCAGGCACCCTCACTGGTGTCACTGCTGCCCTGAGGGCTCTCTGGGTGCTGCCAATCCACACAACACATGCTGGGTGTTGGATCTGCCCTCCCTTGTTCTGCATTGCAGCGAGGAGGTTTCTGGGTGCGTTTTTACTGATCGTGGCGGTGCAAGAAAGCTGAGAATGATGTAAAGAGATCATGGGCAGCAGACTGGGCCCTGTGTGTTTATGGCTTCATTCTGGTGTGGGAAGGCAGCTGGTGATGGTCTTTAACCCAGTTGTTTGTGTCTGAAGCAGGCACACAGGAGCCAGCATGTGAATGAGAAACTCCCTTGTAGTTCATGGAGGGGAATGGGGATAATGAGCCCCTTCCTAACAGGCTTTGTGCCCACCTTTTGTTCCTTCAGTTCAGTAGAAACTGCTGTCAAATGCTGCTCTTGCTTTCTGCTGTTTGCATTTCACCTTTGAGTTTTGTCTTTGTCAGGATCTCGCTTGTTCCCAACCATTCACAGAGCTGTTCTAGGGAAACAAAGCATTAAAAATGAGCAAAACAAAGAGTGGGGGAAAAAAACCCAACCCTCTTCCTACAAGCCTTTGAGCTGTCAGGAAAAGCTGTACCAAGGCTGTGTCTGCAGCAGAGCCCTCTTGGAGGGAGTGTTTTCCATCCATGGTCCCAGTCCAAGTGACAACCAAGAGGCACAACGCTTGGGAAGAGGCAGGGAACAAATCTCATACCCCACACACCGAGGAGAGCAGGAACCTGTGACTTGAGGCCCAGGTGGAGCATCCCCAGGGTTGCCTTGTTGATGAGGTTGCTTGTTCACACGGGCTCCTTTGTAGATCAAACTGCTTATCTGTGCTTTTAAAGGCTCAGCCCCTCGTGGCCTCTGCTTGCATCTCTGCTCAGCTTTCTTCTCTTTTGCTGTACTCGCTGCTGATGTGCTTTTGTGCCATCCCATCTTCCTCCCTGATCAAATGCCAGGGACACCTTCCTTTGGCAAATGACCTCCTGGAATCCTTTCTGCAGAACGTGTATCCTCGCTCTGACTTACTGGTGTTGCCTTACCATGGAATAAAAAAAGAGAAATATGTTCTGCTCTGCTTTTAAGGAGAAGCTTAATGGTTTCCAGAGAGCGTATGTCGATACCAACCTGTCTCCTGGAGCAGGAGCTGGATCCTGTGGGGACTGAGCCCCCTTGGAGACGTGCTGAGCTTGCTGTGCTCCCACTGAAACGTTCCGTGGAGCTGTCTGGGGTTTGCTGGAGGCATCTGACAGGCACTGATAGCAGAGCTGTTGTTTAGGACTCTGGTATAGACGCCGTGTCTGGCACAAGGTTGTGTGAGTGATAGGCTGTGACCTGCCCTCCCCTCCTGGAGGGAGTGCTTTCCATGCAGGGATCCTTCCGGAGCTGCGGCCTGGAGCAGTGACTTGGATCAGAGGAGAAGTGCAGCGAGGAGGAGGAGGTTAATTTTGGCTGTGTGAGGAGCAGCCCTTCCCTTCCAGCAGCCCAGTTTACTGGGGGACACTGGCTGTGAACTGGCTGGCCCTGTGGCTTGCTCTGCTTCCAGGAGGGAAGTGGGGGATGCAGATCCCCCCTCTGACAGGGCCCGAGGAGCCCAGAGGGGCGGACTTGGCCCCTACGGGCAGCTTTGGCTGCCGTGATGCTTCCTCAGCACCTCTGTTTGCCTGGCTCCTGCTCTTGAGAGCTGCTGACAGGTCTGTGCTCCGAAGGAAGCTCTGTGGTTTGCCTTTGGGACCAGTGGCAGACTCAGGGTCAAGGAGATGCAAAATCAGCACAATGAGAAGAGCAAGGAGAGCAGGGGGGAGGCTGCCCTTGCTTTGATCACTGGAAAGGTAAAGCAAAAATAGAGCTTAAAAGCCCAGCCAGGCAAAACAGGGCTGCAGTGGTGCTGATGGTGGTGTTCCCACAGGCTCCTTTCCTCCCCCACAGGGGTCAGCCCTGGATGTACAGGTTTCCTCTGCTGGACAATGGGAAGCTGCTTCTTTTAGTAACCCCCTTTCAAAGGGCCTTGAGCCCAAAATGAGCTGCATCTCTTTAATTATTTATTGGTGTGGCTGATCTGGCAGCTGGGTCCTGCTCTCCCGTGTTCAGTGGGGCTGGGCTTTTAATCCCTTTAAAGCCAGCGAGTGGGGAAGGGGAGGTTGGACTCTCAGCTCCCCAGGGAAGGAGCTGGTCCGTGCCAGCCATTTATCCAGGCAGCACTGAGTGCTCGTGGAGAGGGTTTGAAATACGGTGGCTGCTCGTAATGAGCTGCTGGTGCCGGCGGATAAATCACCAGCACGATTTAATTATTTAATGCAGCCCAGTGCTGGGGATGCTGTTGCTTAATTGGAGGGGAATGCAATAGCCAGGAAGGAGTAGGGGCTGAGGCCCAACCTGGCCTGGTGCAGTGGGGATGTGCTGAGTTCCTGCAGCATTTTGGGAGCAGGGAGCTGGAGTGGAGGGGCCTGTGCTGCTTCAGTCCACACATATCTGGGGCACTGGCCTGTTAGTGGCTCCAGGGCCACCCAGAGGTTTTGGCTCTCTTGTCCCTTGGCTTTTTTGTGTTCCTGGTGTGCTCAGGCCTTGTCCCAGCCTCTAGTCTGGCTCAGCAGCCAAGTGCCGAGGTCCTGTGAGGTAGGTGGATCCCTTTCCTGCCTGATCCCGCTTCCCACTGGCTGATCCCACCATGTCCTTGCGGTGGCACCTCTGGAGTCAGTCAGTGTCTGGGGGAGGCTCTGTGTGTGCCATGAGACCCTCCCTCCCGGGAGCGATCCTCAGCTGGCTCAGCGGCAGCGCCGCTCTGCCGTGCCCACCTCTGCCCACCCCCTTCCAGTGGCACTTCAAGGGCTGGAAACTTGCTGGGCTCTGCTGTTTCCTCGTCCTCCCGGCAGCAGCAGCGCGAGGAATTGAACCACAGCCCAGGAGACCAGCCGGCTTCACACGGTCGATGCCTCCAGCAAAGTCAAACCAGCCGCGCTGCCGCCTGTCCTCTTTGTCCCCTTGAAGGAGGAATCCCCTCTCGAGACAGAGGAGCCTACATTGCCCGGGGCCTGGCCAGCTGCTGTGGCGGCTGACGGCTCTCCAGCTGCTCGGAGTCAGGCAAGGAGAATCCCAGAGCCTCTGGCAGGCTTGACCAGTTGTCAGCAGAGCATCCTAAAAGTGTCTGGAGCTGCTAAAAATGCTGCCTGTGGCGTTGGCTCTTGGTGTGTGTGGGGTGTAGCCGTTCCCCTGGCAGGGAGAGGGTGTGCACTGGCCAGCCTTGGTCTGACAGCACAGGTGCTGTGTCACCTGCTTCACCTCTCTTTTTCCTTCATGGCCACTCTCATACATCCTACACAGGTTCCTTACTTACAGAACTAGGTGTAAGAATGGTGGCTTTTGTCTTGCTGTTGCTGTTGTCTTCCCATCAGCTTTGTGTTTGTTTTGAGGCGTTTCTCTGGGAACCAAGAGCTTCTTCTCCTGCCTGCTCCGATGGGAGCACTGGTGGGCAAACCAGGCTGCCTCTTCCCCTGGATAGGTTGTGTTTTGCCACATTCCAGTGGGTATCCCTGGGCTGGAGCTGCCATGATGGCCTGGCTGGTAGGAGTTTGAAGCAGCAGGAATCATGCTGGGAATGTTGACTTGATGTACAAGCGTGTGGTGGTTTAACAGCATTGCTGCTAATCCTGGCTCCTAAGAGACACTTCAGGACAATGATTAGAGCCTTGAGAAGGGCCTTTAAATCACATCATCAGCCATTGGTGAGGATACACAGTGCTGTATCCTGTGGAGAACACAGGGCCCTCAAGGTGCAGAGCCTGAGTTTTTTTTTTGGAGGCCCCTGAACTGTGCAGCACTCCCCTCCTTCTCAGCCCAGGGTGCCCCACAGCCAGGAGCTTGCTGTAGCTCTTCTCCCAGAGGTTTTGTTACAGCTCATGAAAGATTGTGGGGGTGATTGGAGAGTCTGCTTCAGACTGGACTTTGTACTGGACTGATCTCCTGAGGGGAAGGGTGGATTTCCCAGCCCCCCTGCATTCTGAGAAGGGTTGACACGTCCCGTTTCCACTTGCCAACCCTGGAAAGAATGATATGGGCTTTGATGACTCCAATCCTGGGAAGAGATGTCGGAGCTGAGGGACTGCTCTGGTTTATGCCACTGTGACCACTCATCCTCTTGCTCTCTGCAGCCCATTGAAAAGCTGGTGGCTCTGCTGAACACCCTCGACAGATGGATTGATGAAACCCCGCCGGTGGATCAGCCTTCTCGCTTTGGGAACAAAGCCTTCAGGACCTGGTACGCCAAACTAGACCAGGTGAGCGTGTCTTTCCTGTGTGGTGGTACCTGCAGCTCCCTCGGAAGGGCAGTGTGTCCAGCAGGGATGGCAGAATGGCTCCATCACTGTGTGGCAGCCAAGCAGCCTGTGGAGGAGTTGCTCAGATAAGCTGTGAAGGATCCACCTCTTGATGTGCATCACTTACCCCTGGCCTGGTGCTTGTCTGTCCCTCTTGTGAGAGCATATGGGCCATGTAAATGCTCTTGGCTGGGTCTCCCAAGTTCTGGATGAGCCTGGAGGGCTCTCCAAGCCCAAGGAATTCTGTTTCTTTTTAACTGCCCACTGTGCCACAAAATCAGAGGAGTGTTGGGGAAACTGCTCAGCTTCCTCCAGCTCAGAGCACTTGCCCTGCACTGGGTGCTGGAGGTGGCACAGTCCCATTTCCAGCAGCAGAGCCCTTGCAGCTGCTTTTGTCCTGGAGATGGCTCACTGGGAAATTGGGTCAGTGGAGTTGATGGTGAAGCTTTTCTGTCCTGCAGGTTGCATGTGGCCTGGGTAGGTTTCAGGCCAAGCTTTGCCTGACTTGTTCCATCTCTGGAGATGACTTTTTCAACAGGAGGGTTTGCTCCTGTGCCGTGCTGGCTCTGGGCACTGCAGGAGAGCACCATGGCAGCTCCCACACTGCAGCAGGGCCTGAGCACAGGGTGACTTGTCCTTGGGGACTGTGGCAAATCTGCACTCACTCAGGGAAGTGTTGTGTCTTTCAGGAAGCAGAAAAGTTGGTGGCAACAGTGATTCCCAAGCATTTGGCTGACGCTGCCCCAGAAGTGGCTGTGTACCTGAAGGAATCCGTGGGGAACTCCACCCGCATTGACTATGGCACAGGTACCTGGGCTGGCACCCTGCCCAAGGCTGGGCTAGTTGGGAAGGGACCCTTTGGAGCCTGGTGCTGCATTAATTTAAATGTTCTTACCACTTTTTTTTTAGTTCTAGCTTGAAGTAAACACCTTCCTTCTGGGCCCCCCTCACCCCTCTGTCCTGTGTGGGCTGTGACTGAGAGCTGGGGCTGGGAGCTATGCTAGAGCTGTGACACCCTTTCACATCTCATCAGAGGAAATGGGAACCAAGCTGTTCTGGGAATAGCTGTAGGAACTGCCTCACTGCCTGCAGGAGTCCTGCAATAGGCAGTTTAAAGGGATAAAATATAATGGCTTGAATTGGAAGTAGAGTGAGAGCCGAGTTCATGTTCAGTGGGAGGTGTCCTGAGCTCTGGTGCTCCCTAGAAGTGACATCTCTGCTTACGGAGGGGCTTTGAAATCTGAAGGTAGAAACATTTTGCACCTAAAGAGGTGGTGAATTGCAGGTTGAAGTAACCACACTGGCTTCAGCCTAAATACAGAATTGTCTACACGCTCTGCTCCTCTCTCTGGAGCACAGCTGTGTCCTCACCAAAAGGCAGAGAGTAGGATGCTGTGGGTGCAAGGAAACTTGGGCAGGGAGAGGAAGAGGAGGCGGCGGGTAAAAAGGCTGAAGAACTGAAGGCTGTGCAGTGCTGGCTGCGGCTCACTGGCACCAGGGGGAGATGTTGTCCTTGGAAAGGGACTCGCTGGATGGGGTTTGGTCAGCTCAGGGAAGGAAATTCAGCCTCTCCTCCCCTCCCGTGTGTCCCAAGCCAGAGGCCCATGGCCTTGCTCACAGTGACCAGGCTGTAGGTGCATTTTGTTCCTATACTGGGAGCACCTGTCCATAATGTGGAGCTGCTGATTTTATACTCTCCCTTCTTCTGTGAATTCTTCCACTAAAAGACATTTCTGGATTTTCTGGCTGTTGCTTTTCCTTGCTGTTAGCTGGAGGACCAAGCTGCAGGGGCCTAGCCTGAGATCCCAGTACCTTCTGGGACAGACTGTTCCTGGCAGTGTCGTGGGATCTGCATCCTTCCGACACAGAGATATTTTTGAAGTGGGAGGAAATCTGTTTACTTGCAGATGTGAGGTTCTCTTGTATCCCCTGAGCAGATGACTCTGTGGTGCTCCACTTCCCCTGCTGTGCCAAGCTCCTGGGAAAGTCCCTGCCTTGCTCCCAGCATGCCCAGTGTTGGAGCTGTTTTTCCTTAAGAATCTCTTCTCTAAGTGAATAATCAACTCATGAGTGTCTAGAAGGTATAACTTGGGTGGGTGCTGCACGAGGATGAAATATTGTCAGCTCATGCTATTCACAGTGACAACGGGGTTGAGAGGGGACTGTGACTGCTGTGATTTCTGAAGAGCTGTGGTGGTGCCCACAGAAAGGTTATCCTGGGGGCCAGAGTCACCAGTGTCGTGTCTCTTCGTGTCTTTTCACTCCAGGGCACGAAGCTGCATTTGCAGCCTTTCTCTGCTGCCTCTGCAAAATTGGTGTGCTCAGAGTGGATGACCAGATGGCCATCGTCTTCAAAGTGTTTAACAGGTGAGGCAATGGAAGGAAAAGGGCTGGAAATATTGGGCTGTTTGGGGAGAAAGGGCAGAGTGGGAAAGCTGAAGCCAATTTTAGATAAAATTATGAGCAGATGTACTTTTTAATGGAGTGTACCCCGACCCATTATGACTCTCTCCAAAAGAGGTGATGGCCCCTTGTCTGGTACAGGCTGAGTGTCCTTCTGGAAAGTTACTTTAGTTGAGCACAAGTTACTGAGCTCTGTGGGTGAAGCTCTGTGTTTTGTGATAGGCAGGAGTATCTGATCAGAGTATGTAACATTTCTTCAGGCATCAAAAATAAAAAATCCATGCAAATAGCAGGCCTCCACTGCTCCTCTAGATGTGTTTCCAGCCCAGGAGGTAGAGTTGGTAGTGATGAAACTGGTGGATTGGGTGTTTGGAGTCCAGAGATCCAATCCCAGCCATATCACTGTTTGGTGGCATGGAAACAATTTCCTTCAATAGCACTTTAATTTTCCACCTGAGAAGTGGAAGTAGCAATTGCTGTAAGGTGGCAAACTTCCTGAGCTCTTTTGGAAGTTGTTGAAGGAGAGTGAACTGTCAATGTTTTCTGGTAACAGTGGGGATGGGGAAAGATCTGCATCAACATAAGATACTGCAGATGAAATAAACCCCTGCCACTGGATTTCTCTGTGGATTTGGTGTCGGGTACCTTCAGGCTGCTTCCTATGGCAAAGGAGCTGAATATATATTGTATGTACTGTGCTGTATGTGGAGGTCCTGCTTACAAAGGATAAAGTTGTGTCTTTTTCCAGACTGGTTGTTCTTGTTCTCATGGAAGTCAAAGGCAGAAGAATGCCTTGTGTTAACCCTTCTTCTCTCTTTGGTCTCAGGTACCTGGAAGTGATGCGAAAACTTCAGAAGACCTACAGGATGGAACCTGCTGGCAGCCAGGGCGTGTGGGGCTTGGATGACTTCCAGTTCCTGCCTTTCATATGGGGCAGTTCCCAGCTGATAGGTACTAATAAAAAATCTTCTCGTGTCCCAGCCTGCCCTCTGCCCCATCTGTCTAGGCTGCAGAGAAGATGGGACTTAGGGCTGACTTCTAAATTCAAATCTGTCAAATTTGTGCATAATACAGCAGAAGAGTTTTGGGCTTGGATTGTTTTGGGGTTTTTTCCCCCTCAGCTTTTCAAATAAAGCAGGTTGCTTAGGTTGGGAGATGGAAGTGTTCCTTGTACAGTACATTTGTCTTTATTGCAATGACTATAAGCTTTTTAAAAGGAAAGTCTTGGGTTTGGTGCTAGAAAATGCATCTTCTGCCCTGGGGAGTTTTCTCCCTGCAGAGGCACTGGAGTGGGAGATGAGATAGAAGGGAGCAGCTCTGTGCTGATTTTTGAAAAGCTCTGATGGGAGGATCGTGTTTCTGGAAGAGGGGCAGGACAGTACCTGGCTGAAGTTGGTCTCAGAAGGGGGTTGCCTAACAGGTTGCTTCCTGTTGTGTCTTACTCTTTTTAGACCATCCAAGTCTGGAGCCTCGGCACTTCGTTGATGAGAAGGTGGTAAACGAAAACCATAAGGACTTCATGTTCCTGGAGTGCATCCTCTTCATTACAGAGGTGAGGAGTGGAAGGTTTGTCCCAAAGGGACGTTCTCTTGACATCAGATACTTGGCTCTGGCTGTGGTTTTCTGTTCCTCCTTTTCTGCTTTGCTTGCTGTCGTGGAACTGTGCAGGTGAACTGTTGTTGCATGGCTGAGGTGCTCTCCTTGAACGAATTGAGACAGGGATGTTGGGAGGAAAGTGTTATTAAGCTGGATTGTATTTGAAGGGAGCTGTAACAACAGCAAACAAATAACCTTGGATCAGTCAGTGGGAACTTGGATGGAGAGGACTGGTTCCTGCAGATACTCTAGGAAGATGAAGTAGGAGCTGCAAATCGCCTGGGCTTGCCAAGACAGCCTCCCTTCCCTCCAGCCCTTGGGTGCTGCTTGGCAGCCCTGGGCCACCCCTTGCTTAGGGCACGCTCCCAAACTTCTGTGCTGCTCCTTCTCCTCCAGGTTCTACCAAAAGCCCATTAAATGCACCTTATTTGCAACGGACCTAGAGCAGAGAGGGTGCTGAGACTCACCCAGCTGAGCTCTCAGAACTGGGGATCCTCAGCTTGTTGCCAGCCACGGGCAGTGTCTCAGTGAGGGAGCTCAGGGCTTTCTGCCCTCAGCATCCGTGGAGGATCCAGCCGTGTTTCTCCCGGCTCCCTCACAGTCTGGAGAGGGAGAGCAAGAACTACCCGCTCTCTTGTGGTGAGGGATTTCTTGTCTCTGGCAGGAGGGAGTTGATGGGATTAATTTTGAAGGACAGAGTGTGGTACTTCCCCTTTGTTCTGTTCGCTTTCCCCCCTCCTCGCCTCTCTAATTTAGTGATTAGATGAGAAGGAAGGTTACAGACTATGAACTTACCCTTTCATGTAGGAAATCTTCATAGGAGCCTTTGGCCCAAACCCCAGGAGGTGCTGTGTCAAGTCCTGCTGAATCTGGTAGGGATTGTTGGTACTCAGCACCTCACTGGGTTTAACCCTTAATGCCAAGATAAATCATGCCACGGGTAGTAAAGAGGTGCTGGTGGAAGAGATCAAGACGAGGACAGGAAAGCAGAAGCCAAGATGGTCCAAGATTTATTTTAGTTTGGGCCTCTAATATCCAGACAGTGCACTGACCTGTTAGAAACAGAAAAAACACATCTTTTGACACGTGTGTAGAAAATTCTGCAGCGCCCAGATGACAGGTGAAGTTTAAAATACCCAGCACCATCGTGCTGCTTCAGGTCACGCTGCTTCTGCCTGCAGAGAGTCAGCTTTTTAGCAGGCTTTTAAAATAAGTGATTTGAGTCCCTTTTTCCGCACATTTGTCGGGAAGCATGGAATTCAGTGTTTCTGCCGAGTTCCTCAGTGCCACCTGGTGGCAAGGAGCCCTCCTCTCGGGCCTCCTGCCGTGAGCCTTAAGGGACAGCAATAACCTGCATTACCAAATCCATGGTATATTCAGTCCATCTCCATGCCGGCACTGGTTCCTTTTTATAAAGATTTGGCTTTTAAAAGTTGGGGTTTTTTCCCCTCCCAAGCGCCCAGGAAAGCTGTAACTGCCACTAGAGGGGGTGAGGCAGCCTCAGCACCCTCCCAACGCTTTCTCTCCGAAATCAACAACAAAACATAATAGCAGGGAAAAAAGATAGAAGGGATTAAAGACTTTAATAAACGAATGATGTTATTTTCTTCGGAGCTTGTCAGCTGGAAACAGCTCTCCTTTAAAGGTGTTAAGCACATAGCAAACACCACAGCAGTACCCGTAGTGGGTCTGGTGTGTCTTGCTGACATGAGAGCAGGTTTTGTTTCAGCAGGCTACAACTGAAGTAGGTTGTTTTCTGTCAGCTGAGAGAATATTCTCTTGAGCAGATATTGTTCTCAGCCCCTGTTGTGGTGTTTGCCACGTGTGTATTTAAACCTCAGGCTCTTAAAGCAGCAGCAAGATGATGTCCGGGCTGATCCCACCACGGCATCCTCCCCACAGCTGCGCTCAGGCACGGCAGCGAGCCTTGCATGAGCTGGCCTGCTGTTGGGAAATCTGTGGGGTGGGTTTGGACCTGAACACGTGCTTCTGGAACAGGGTGAGGTTTGCAGAGCTGGCTGGGACTCAAGCTGTTCCCCTGCTGCTGCCTCTCTTTGCCTGTCAAAGTGTGCCGTGGGGTGTGCGTGGTACCCGCAGGTGTGAGGGTGGGGAGCGTTTGGGAGCATCCCTGCCCAGGGGCTGTGGAGGGCAGCAATGCAGAGCTGCCTGTGTGTGTGTGCAGATGAGCAGTGCTGGGTGCCCCCCAGCTGTTGTGGGCGTTCAGTGCACTCGCCCCAGATGCTCCTCCGAGAGCTCGGGGCAGGCAGCAGGAATTTCAGCTTCAATCTGGCTTCTAAATTTGGAGGTTTGGGAAGGGAGGGCTCGGGTTTCTGCTGGAAGGGAAGGAGCTGACAGGAAAGCACGGCCTCAGCCGTCCCCCTCCCCCCTGCACTGACAGAGGAACCATTTACAAAAGGCCGATTCTCTTGGGAACCGAGAGGCAGGAACGCCGCGTCTGTGAGTAATTTCCTGCTCAATATGGCTGCTCTGACTCACTCTGTTCCCCTGGGGTCACTGCGGGACTGCAGCGCTCTCGCTGCCTCTCACTCTCCCCCCCAGCTCTCCCTCTTCGCCCTTTGTGGCTGGAAGGAGATGGATTTTTTTTTGTTCCCTCTTTCAACCCTCTTATTTTTCCCTCCCCGGTGTGAAGCCATAGCAAAGCCATCCCTCTCCAGGTGCCCTGGGTGAGGAGGGCCACAGTGGTGGCCATGCCAGGCATGAGCATGGAGCCGGCCAGCCCTGCCCGCCTCCTCCACACTCTGTCACGCTCACTCCAGCTTGGGAAGGGAGAGAAGCAAAGCCTGGTGGTGGTGGCTGGTGCAAACTGTGCCCCTGTGAAGGGTGGTGATGCCAAGAGAAGGTTCAGCATCAAAATTCATGCAGCCAAAGCTCCTGTGTGGGGAGGGATTTCTTTGAGGAGCCTCCTGGCGCGGATCTCCCTGGCTTTGGGTGCCCGCCAGTGCCGAATCTCGGCGCTGGATAATGCACCGGCGCTGTCGGTGAGCGCCGTGCTTTGTGTGCTTGCATGTTTCATCCCGTACCCACGAGGAAAGCGTGTGGTGCAGGGGAGCAGGAATGGCCAAGTGGCTCATCCATCATCCCCTGGCTCCTGGGAACCACCGAGGGGAAGCGGGGATGCATCCGTGCCCTCCTGGCACTGGGCACAGCTACAGACCCCCTTCCCCTGCTGCTCCAGCCCCAAGGTCAGCGGGTGTGAAACACGTCACAAGAAGTGGGAGTTATTTTGGGTCCCCCCCACACCCTTTCCCTCTCTTTCTTTCTCTGCCTCAGGCTGGTGCCACACAGGCATTGCAGAAATTTCCCAGAGCGGATTGATTGGCTCTGCTTGCTTTTACAGAGAGGTTGTTTTGGAGGCTCTTTTCCCACCCTCTCTCCAGGCCTGTGCGTGCGTGGAGGGAAGGGGTTAGTTGTTCAAACCCCAAGTCGTGAACAAGAGTCCAAGAGATTCCTCTCTCCCCACGCTCCTTTTTAGCGTGAGCTTCGGCCTTGTGGTTTCTGATGTCATGGGAACTTCTCTCAGTCAGAGTGGCTGTGTTGTATTTCTTTTTCTCCCTGAGGGTCTGTTTTTGTTCATGGAGAAGAAGGGGAGACAACTACCCAGGGAATCTACATGCAACTGTCCCTGATTGCAGCTTCCCTCCCTGCCCTCTTTCCTTCAAACTGTTCACTCTGGGAGGAGAAACACTAGAGTATAAAAAAAAAAAAAAAATAAAAATATGTAAAGCATTTGCTGCAAGGCAGCAGCTCACAGCTCTGGAGCTGGTTTGGAAAGCAGGACTGGAGTGTGTCCCCTCTGCTCCTGCCTCCCCCAGAGCCCTCCTCGGCTGGAGACAGGTGTGGAGTGGGCTGTGGACACAGAGCTGCTGCCAACCTGCACTGCCCTCTGTATTCAGGGAAGGCAGCGCGGTCGTCGCTGCTGCTTGTTGTTGATCTGAATGGGGAATGAGTCATTTTCTTGGAAAGCCCAGCAGAGCTGCACTGGGAGGTTTCTGGGTAGAATAGGAACAGCGTTGAGCCAGGCTCTACTGGAGGGGAGAACGGGACTTACGTGGGGCTTTTTTAATGCGGTCATTAAAAGGGAGGTGTGCAGGGGGACGTCTGATTAGGAAAGCGTGGCAGGAAAAGGCTTAATTTTATCAGGGAAGGAGGGGAGCTGGATTGCCACGGCTTCATGTGATGTGGCCGCAGCGGGAGGGAGCGTGGAGGGAGGGAGGGAGGGAGGGAAGTGGCAGTGAGGTGGCTGGTGCGTGGGTCACAGGGCTCGGTGGGAATGTTTGCTTGGAGAGAGTGTGAGTGTGAGTCACTGCTGGTGCACGAGCTTCCTGGCTGGCCCGGCTCCCTCAGCCCTGCGCTCGGGTCTCTTTCAGATGAAGACGGGCCCCTTTGCCGAGCACTCCAACCAGCTCTGGAACATCAGCGCCGTGCCCTCCTGGTCCAAGGTCAACCAGGGCCTCATCCGCATGTACAAGGCAGAGGTGAGCACTGGGAGCAGGGGGAGGCTGCTGGGCCTCCTCCCCTCCACAGCACTGCAGGTCGGCTCTTGTGCTGCTCCTTGGTGTAGGGACCCTGTCACAGCCGTTGGCTGCCCCTTGTGTGGCTGCCCCTGACTGTGGCTTGGGAGCCCTTGGACAGTTCAGGTGCAGCTGGCTAGAAGGAAGCTCCTGCCTGCCTAGTGTTTGCCCCAAAACCAATCCCAAAATGGCCACTTCTTGCAGACATGACTCTTGCCATTTCTTGTCTTCCCATAATGCAGGTTTCAGGTCTCCAAATTAGGCTGATGTCTTGACCTCCTTATCTGTCTGGTCCCCCCACTATTTTACCAGCTGGAGGAGACTTAGTTTATCATCCCATGTTTTAAGGGCCCCAGAGCAGGCTGAATGCTTCCTACTGATCTCCCCTTGCTACGTGTCCTGTCCATGGCCACAGCCACCTCCCTGGTTTGGCAGCCCTCAGCCCACCAGCACTGCTGGCACTGCCCCAGGCTTTCCTGGTGAACCCCTGACCTGGGGAACTGGGCAGTTTTGGCTCTCCCTTATCTCCCCTTCCTGCTCGAGCCAACCCTGAGCTCGAGGAAGCAGGACAGGAACCGCCACATCTGGGCCTCGGGAGGGAACATCTCTTGCTGGGCAGGATGGGACAGTGCTGGCTCTGCAGGACACTCTGGCTGTGCCAAGGGTGCTGGAGGAGCAGGGATGGTGCAACTCCCTGGTGCACCCAGTGGTGCCTGAAGGAGTTAATCCCACCCCTGGCGGTGTGTGCTGGTGACACATCTCTGCTCCTGTTGCTGGGACACGGGCCTGAGGCTCAGGGACAGCTCTGCTCAGGCCCAGCGCACAAAGGGGTTAAACTGTGCCGAACTGCCGCTCCCTCCCCCAGCCCTTCCTCTGCTCTGCACATCCTGTGTTTAGGTTCCAGGCCACATACCTCTCTAATCTGGGAGGTGTCACTCCCAGGCCCGCTGGCTCCTTCCGCCCCCAGCTCAGCTTTCCTCCCAGCCTCCAAAGAGGAGAAGCAGGGCTGGGGGTCGACCCCCTTGGCTGGCTGCTCCTTGGAGGGGTGCCCCAGGCTGCTCTGCAGAGGGGGAGGTGCCCCTGGGCTGCCCCTCTGAGGCTGCCCCTGTTCACAGCTCCCTCACAAGGGCTGGAGACACTGCCTGCTGGGAAACTCTTGAGCTGGAGGCTCTGGTGTGAGAGCTGGGAGGTCTAAAGGGAAGAGTGAGTGCTGGTAAAGTGAAACATGAGTCCCTAAATCCTGGAGTGTCAGTGGGGTCTGCTGCTGCCTCAGCTGGTCCTCCCTTTCCTTGGGATCAATTCTTTCACCCAGCTCTCTGGGTACTCCCTTGGCATCCCACACGCCCCAGGATGTTCAGGTGCTCCTGCCTGGTGCCCCACATTCCCTGTGCCATATGGTGGCTGCCACCTGTACCTGACTGGAGGAACTTGGCAGGGGTGTGCCCACGGTGCGATGTTCATGTCTGCTGACGTCTTGGGGCCACCCTGTGCTGGCAGATCTACCTGTGCCCTGGCTGGGGACAGCACAGCTCAGGGATCCTCTGAAGCCTGGGAGATAGTTTGGCTCTTCTAAGTGCACCCAAGGCATGGCCTTTTCTGGAGGCCTTGATCTGTTTTGAGTAGCAGATGACCCTGCATGAAAGTGCTGGATGCAGTAATGGGGGGTTTCTAGAAATATCTAGAGGTGTAGCTGTGTCAAGGGGAGAATGCAACAACTGCCAGGAAGGGTAATGACAAAAATTTAGGCTAAGGTGTAAAAAACATTGAGTTAACCAGAGAGGTTTAAATTTTTTTTTTTCCTCAAGGAATATTTGACTAGTCCTAAGAACACATGATTCTTGTGCAGCAGTGTCTTCTCCTGGCACTGCATGGTGCCTGTGTTCACCTGGATGGGCAGAGGAGAAGGGAGACTCCTGCTGAAGGGTCCTCACTGGTTCTTTTTATATAGATATAATACTTTAAGGCAGAGCCTGGAGTGTGTGATGGCAAAGAGAGGGAAGGTTTGGGGTTGTGGTGTTGCTTTGTCTGACTGGCAAAGGTGAGAGCAAGATGTCCTTTTATTTATTTTCCCCTCCCTTCTCCCTGCCCCTCTGATGCCCCGTTGTAATGAGATCAGTTGAAATCAGACACTCAGGTGGAGGCTCCAGCTCTGTAACACATCTGGGCTGGCTGGGACGGTGCTGACCGTGACTGGGCTTGAGGGGAGGCAGCAGCACAGCCAAGGGGTCACTGGCTGGGAGCAGAGCAGGAGAAATCAAATGCTCACTCACAACCTCCTCTCACTAGGTGGGAGTGGGGCAGCTCCAGGCCTGGTGCATTTAAAAAGCTTTGTCTCTCCTGTGTCTCCTCTATGGGATGACTTTAACCAGCCCACAGAAAGCTCAGGTGTGTCTGTGTGGCCGGGAGCTCTGCTCTGGATCCAGGCACTCCAGGGTGCATGGGCAGTAGACTGAAGACAACGTGTCTTCAGCTCTGTGTGTTTATGAAATCCCAAATGTGTCTATTTATAATATAATGGGTGAAGATGTGTTCTCTTGGAAGTCCAAGGGCTTTTCTTATTCTCTCCATCAAAGGCGAGTGAAGAAGTCGGCAGAATAGAGTGTGGTTAAAGCAGCAGCCTTGATATTTTTCCCCTGAGCCTGCTTTTGAGTCTCCTGACCTTTCTTTCTCTGCAGTCAGTCGGGAAATACTTTCCATTGTAACTAATCTAGTCCCAGTTCCATCTTTAAAGGTTGGACTTGGTGCATGAATCTACTCCACAGTTGAGTCCCAAGCAGACTTTCAGCATGATCAAGATGATGGCAAGGAGAAATAAGCTTGTCCCCTCCACTGAGTTGGGTACATCAGTTTCACCCACAGGTGATGCAAGGAGGGTCCTGTCTCTTGGTCCCTCTAATAATCCAGTAAATTTGTATTAGTTCTGCTGGATACAACAGAATTTTCTTTGCTCATCTCTTCTTGGGCTGGTGATGTGTTAAGTGGAATGGATACCCCTTCTTCCCACTGGTGGTAAAGTCTCTCCATCTGGAGCCCAAACCAGTCTGGTCTTCCATGGGACTCCTTGGAGCTAATTGGGCTGACATTTCTAGCTGTCAGCATCTCCAGTGTTCATTTCTCTCTGCTCTTCCTCTCACGTCACTGTTATCCAGTGCTGCTTCCTCTGAGGATTTGTCTAAGTGGTTGTGTGGAGAGATGGCAGCAGCTCTGAGCATTAGGAAGCTTTGAAGGTGACGTGCCCTGATGGTCAAAGGACTTATTTCTCCTTGGTGCCTTGCCATGGAGGTTTGTGGTTTTCTGCCTGGCTATTATCCCCCAGGAGTGGATACAGCCGTGCTGTACTTTCACCACCTCCAAACTTGTTTTGGATCCGGTGTGCTTGTGCTTGGAACCAGTTGTCTGACCTCTGGCTCTGAAGGGATTACTGTGGGCTGGGCCTTCTGAGCACAAATCCTCCTGCTTGCCCGTGCTGACAGCTCGAGGGCAGGGTGCCTGTGCCTGAGTCCTGCCCTGGGGGAAGAGCTGTCTGCAGCACACTCTTCCTCCCCAGCCCAAGAGGTGGGCTCTCCCCCGCTGCAGCGAGTCCAGCTTGGCCCCATGGAGAGCACAAAGCTCCTTCCTGTGGAAATGAGAGTTGTAGCTACACCATGGCTCTTATCTCCCTTTGGTAGGAAGGAATTGTTCTTCAGAAAAGCCTGGAGGAAAGAGTTGTGCTTTTGGGTAGATCCCAAGATCTACCTGGGAGGCTGCTGATTGTAGGCAGGGGCTAATGTGGCCATGACTCTTCCGTGGTGGGTGGGAATTTCAGGAGTGAGGGGTTGTTGAGAATAGGATTGTGTCTTAAGCTATGGCAGCAAAATCACTGGTGCTTGTCCATCAAAGACCTGAGAGTCTGGAATGCGGTTTGGGCAGCGCCTTGTGGCTGCAGGATGGTGCCTCAAACCTGGAGTGTGGGCACTGGCCTGGGGAGGGAAAGTCTCTTCCCTGGGGGGTTCTGCAGCTCTCAGTGTTCGTAGGGTGAAGCTCTTCAAAGAGATCAGCTCGAGCAAGGAGAGTGGTGAGAGAGAAAGCTGCTGACACAGACGTGCTGCTTCTGCTCATGCTCCAGGCCTGAATGTCAGTAAGCAAAAGGCTCTGGCTGAAGGGAAGGGGATGAGGTTATGAAGTGTTACTGGCCTGAGGAGCCTGATAGAAATGTGGGGGGAGACATGGAACTGATCCCTCTGCCTTCGGCTTAGCTGCCCTGAGCTCGCTGCCTCCTGACCCTGCGGGCAGGATGTAGCTCTGGCTGCCTGTGTAAGGTGGAAGTGTCTCCTGAATTCACCTCTCTTTATCTCCCCTCCTGCAGTGCCTGGAGAAGTTTCCTGTGATCCAGCACTTTAAGTTCGGCAGCCTGCTCCCCATCCAGCCTGTGACATCCTAAGGAAGCGGCGGGAGGAGCCGGAGCAGCAGAGGCACAGCGCGGCGCTCTTCCTCCTCCCCTCACCCCTCCTCGTCACCCTGCCCAGCCATTCCTGCACATCCTCATCGGCAACCACACATCCAAAGCACTTGCCGGCCTTGCACGGGAGATGGGACCTGGAACGGCTCCTCCTGCACGTCCTCCCTGCAGGGACGTGTCACCCACGGCCAGGCCGGGGCTGTGCCTGTCCTCGACTGCTGTGCGCAGCTCCGGGCTCGGGAATGGGCTTGGCTAGGGGCTGCCTTGCAGCAAAGGCCCTCTGCTTCCCTTCCTGGGAGGAAGGGGTGTGGAGGGGAGGAAGGCACGTGTGTGTGTGTGTGTGTGTGTGTGTGTGTGTGTGTGTTGGGCAGTGGTAACTGCGATTTCCCTTTTGAATTTCATTGGAGTTTCCTGTTGCTGTTTGCTTTGGGAAACCACCGTGCGGGGCGAGGTGTGAGCCTGTGTGTGTCTGTAGGCAGCCAGCTCTCCCTGCTCAGGAGGTCTGGAACAGGTAAAGGGAGTTGTAGGGAATGTCTGCGGGTTGTTGGAAGCCCAGGGTGCCATCTCTCCCTTTTCCCCCTCCCTCTGTCTCTTCTGCAAGATTCCCTTTCTTTCCCACTAGCGCCTCTTCTCTTGGGTGAAGCTGGGAACCTTCTGGGCTGTGGCTCTGGAGCTGGAGACAAGGTCCCTGGATGGACCTGGCTCTGTGGGAACAGCTATGCAAAGACACTGCTCAGGCTCCCTCTTAACGGGCACAAACCCTGACACATTCACACACACCCATGGCTGGGTCCAACCTGCCCTCTGCACTCCCTGTGCTTTGCTGCCCCAGGGCTGGGCTGGCCTCAGTGGCACAAGTTGACCGTGGTTGCTCCTGCTTGGTCCTAAATTGTAGGGACAGCCCCAGGGCAAAGGGATTTCCCCATGGAGCAGCATGATCCTAGCTCTTCCAGGGAGACATCCCTGGAGCACAGGCAGCATGAGGGGGCAGCATGTGGCTTTACATGCATTTATGTCCCTGTGCTGGAAACAAAAAGCATAAATAGCCCAGGGCAGCAGGTTATACCTGGAGAAAGCTCTTTCCCTTTGTCATTCCCTGCTGGTGTTGCTGTGCTGGACCTCGGGCAGAGGGACCAGACTTCCGGTGCCACTTCCAGTGCCAGCAGCATCGTGAAGGCAGGTGGTCTGGATCACACCAGCAGCATCCCTGAAGGGCAGAAATGGCTGCTGCTGTGTTTGAGGTGAACTGTTGTATCCACAGGCCTTGACTAAGGTGGTCCACAGCTTTGCAGCTGGAGAGGGGATGCTTCTTGGGGTTTCTGGGCTGGGTGTGGGGTGACTGGGCTGTGGTCTGGTGTTTGCTGAGGATCAGGAGCAGCAGGGATCCTTCCTCTGGCACTCCTGCAGATCATGGAGGGGACAGTGGGGCTGCTCAGTTCCAGGCTGCTCAGCTTCTGCTGCTGCACTGCTTTACTGCTGGGGAGGGGGAGAGAAACCTGCTTGTGATTTTTTTTTTTTTAATTTTATTTTTATTTTTTCGTGATTTTTACCAGAACCTACTTAGTCCCTCTTGTAAAGGTTCTCACAGGCGCTCAGGGGAAGGAGAGCAAGAAAAGAGTGTAAATTAGGAGGCAGTGAAGTGTCCACAGAGCTGAAGTAGAGCTTGCTGGCACTGCTGCTGCCCTGACTGCTCCTGGCTTGGCCCTGGGCAGGGGGTGGGGGACAAAGGGCTGTTGACCTGCCTGAAACAACTTATAAACTTGTATTTTAAATGAAAATGGAAGACTGGGGTTTAAGTCTTGTTTACTCCTAAATGGGATGTGTTTTGTCTTGGCTTTCCAAATGGATCCACTCCTGGAGTGAAAGTGGAGACCTCTGTGCTTGCTGGGGCTCGATGAGTCCATCTCCAGCAGAGCAGCCCGTGCCTGGCATGGAGACCCTCCGTGTCTCCACCCATGTCCCCTCACATTGCTGTGTGGCTTTGGGCAAGTGTCCACGTGCTTTAAATGGCTGTGTGGCTGTGCAGCATCTGGCCAGCAGTGGCTGAACAAAAGCCTCTGGCTTCCCAAATCTGCCCAAGGGTTGGGAATGCATCTCTCCTGGTCATCTTACGGAAATGGGGCTTCCATGCAAAAGGGTGGGTGGAAATGTTGACATCCGTGCGTGGGAGGGACACCCAGAATGTGGAGTACAGCACCAAAAATGGGTGGAGAGATGCTTCCTTCTCCTGCAGCTGCAGCCACTGCTCCCTGGGGATGGTGTCCCTGGGCTTGGGAGCCACAGAGGAGGTGGGAGGAGGCTCATGCAGAGCTGTGTTTGTTTCTTGCCTGAGTCTGCACATTGTTCCTGCTGGATATTTTGAGACTTCAAGCAGCAAATTCTTATTTGAGTCTTATCAACCCGCTTGGGACGTGCCCCTGTCACGTGGCAGCCACCTGCTTGCCTCCCTCTGACTCCCACGCCCGCCACGGCCTCTTGGGGTTCCGCTCCTCTCCTGGCACATCCACACGTGTGGCACCACCCAGGGCTGCTCCGTGTCCAAAGCAGCACTTCCCACCTCCTCCCGCACTGTAGTTTGAATTAAAGTCTCTGTGTTTTGCACCAGTGACTGTGTTGGTCTCTCTCAGACTGGGGTTTGCTCCCACGCTGGGGGCAGAGCCAGTGAAGCCGAAGGCTGGAGCCCTCGGCCCAAGGAAGTGGCATTTGCTGTGGTTGATCTTTTGCTTGCACCAAAATTGACTTGTTGTTTAACTGCATGATCAAGTGCATCCAGTCTTTGTGTCCTTCCTAGGTGTCTTTCTGTTGGGTTGTATGTTTTTATTTATTAACTTTTTTGCTATGCCCACCCCCCTCCCGGCTGGGATTTGGCGGGTAGGTGATGTGTGAAGCCTGATCCCAGGCCAGCAAATACTTCTTGAAGATCAGAGACTCTCATAACCAAAGGATGTTTGAGCCTTGTTTCTGAGGCAGGGTGAGAACTGGAACCTTTTTCTTCAGATGTTTTTCCTGTCCTGCTGTAGGAGCTGACTCAGGACTTCCAGCATCAGTTTAGTTCAGCAGCTTTGTTGGATTTATATTATACCTGGATTAAATTAAACCTGGACCACCTCACGAGTGGTTGGAGGTAGCGTAGCTGTGCTGAGCAAACGCCCGTTTCCTTGTCTCTGGGTTACATCTTCTCCATCAACACGGGCCAACTGTGCCAGTGCGTGTTGCTAAAAGCGGCAGCGGCGTGGAGGGATGGATGGGGAGCACAAATGTCATCTTGGATCACAAATGTGTTCTTTGAAGGCACTTGAACTCGTCTTGAGCGCGTCCCTGGGTGAACATGACGCGCAGTGAGGGGGAAGCAGACGTAGCGTGGGTTTCTGGCCACCTTCCCCCTCAGCCCACTGGCCAAGCCAGTTTTTTTAAGTTCAGTTTTCAGAGCTGGGGTTGCCACACGTAGGGCATTTTGTGTTTCTGTTTGACAGGTGGTGTCTTTGCACGGGGCAGGTTTGAAAATCGCCGTCAGCCTTCCCCTGTCTCTTCACAACCTTCCTTTATGAGTGATCTCTCATGGCAGCCACTAATGAATGAAGTAAGAGGGCAGAGAAGGAGCCTCGTGCTGGGTTGGGAGTAACAGGATAAAAACTGTTTGATGCCATTGTTGCTGCAGTAACTTGTCCCATCACTCAATGCTGGGAATAAACAATTCCTGCTGGTGAATAAACAAGGCAGCCCCCAGTGCAGGACCAGCAAAGTCCGAGCTGGCACTTTCCAGGATGAAGTTGCACTTTGGACACCAAGGACCTGGAGCTGAACCACACAAGAGCCCTGGAGTCTTCACCCTGCCCCTGCAACTGCATTGACTTCCTTCCTGAGAGAGGGAAGGAGGCAGAAATGGGTGGGAGAAGGTGGAATGGGTGGTTGACAATCATTGCTAATGTAACCTGGACTCTCCCTGCCAGTGGGAACCTTGTACATTTGAGAAGCTCGCAGGGATCTCGTCGCTACTCCAAGGACTCTCCTGGCTCAGCTGTGGAGTTTAACAGAGCTTTTGGAGGTCGTTTCATGCTCTAATAGCCAAGAGGAGAGATCTTTAGCCTTGCTTCCCCTTCAGTGGATGAGCCCTCTTCCCACTGACAGTGGAGAAACTCCTTGAGCGTCCTGGGGACAGACAGGTCTTGTAAAATTGTGCCAAACTTCAAACTAGGATGAGCCAGACAGAAAAAGGGCCTTCCCTTCGGATTCAGCGAGGGCTGAACGGTGACGGGCATCCTCAGCTTGGAGATGCACTTGTTCTGGAGGGCACCGGGCTCTGAGCAGGTTTTAGAGGTTAGAAAAGGCCTTCCAGGGGGTGGAGTGGGTGCTTCTGCTTGCTATAAAAAGCCTGGGCTTGGGAATGTCTCCATCGGCCGGCTCAACGCGGGGTGTAAATACAGTTGTCGCTAAAATTGGAACGAGTCACTCCCCGTGTTCCCGGTTGCAACTGTAACACGGATAATAAATAACATCGAAATCCCACATCAGAATTTGGGCTCCTTGATGCTCAGTGTGTGCACACCCACAGAAACAAAATATTCCAGGGCTGGAGTCCTGCAGGAGAGGGGCTGCCAGCGGGCACCGAGGTGTGTGTGTGAGTCCTCCTGAGCACATTCTGCTTCCTTTTATAAAACAGATTAAGGATGTGCTCAGGGATTTGCTGACCCTGTAAAGGGAGGAAGTAGAGAAAGCAGAGGAGCAGTTCTTTATGGGTTCTTCTATTTTTAAGACACCTGGGAGAGAGAAACCCAAGCAGCCTGCACTGCACAGGTCGAGGTACTGAAATTATCCATTTGGACATGAATTCCTCCCAGTTTTATGTGTGGTGGAATTTTTTGAGATGGTGATGCCTGTGATGTTGGAGCCCAGCCTGGTGTGTAGTTGTGTGGCTGTGACCACTCGAGGTGTGCAGAGCTGATGACATTACCCAGCACTGTGTTTCTTTAGCCATCAGGTAGACCTGGTGCTTTGGGTTTGGAGTGCTGGTGCTGCTAAAGGAAAACTCTTTTACAGTTGCTACAAGAGCAAAGCATGACATATTCCTGAGTCTATGTGTCCTATAATGGGTACAAACTATAGAAAATTGACTGCTGCCGTGTTTAGAGAGAAATTCCAGCTAGATTGTAAGATAACAGAGCATATTCTTTTCCTGGATACTTGCTGATCACCTGAAG